ACTTAGCGCGCATGGCATTTATCAGGTCTGGCGACGCGTGATGGACGATGTTGTCGAGCACAAGCGAGTCGGCGCCACCGCGCGCATCGCTGACAGCCACCATGTAAAGAAAGTGCTCAGCCCAGGTGCTTCGCGCTTCTTTCCTTGCCACGAATAGCTTCATGGCCTGGCTCGCCGTGATGGTCGTCTTGAACGTCAGGTGCAGCTGCTCCATGACGTGCTCGAGTCTTGGCTGCTGCACCCACCAAGTGTCGACCTGTTTGTGGCAGTAGCGCTCCGCCGTACCAGCCAAGAAATGCCCGAGTAGGTCCACCTTCACGTTCTCCGTCCAGGAGAAACCGCAAGACGCCTCAGCGAGGCTCACATCGCGCATGAAGGTGCGTCCCGGGTCAAAGAAACCGCTCCCGTGCCCTTTGTAGAGCTCCGTCCCATCGAACTTGCGAATGTTGAGCTTTCTCTGACTAGCGCTCGGCATTCCGAAGTTTCCGATCGCTGCTGCCGTGTGTGCCGCAGGTGGCATCGCTTCTTGACGCGGCGCGACCATGGCCTCGGCCGATCGTTCCGGTATGCGATGCTGAGCTGACGGCTGCCCACGCGGCGGTGCAAGAGAGGCGAACATCGACTCGCCGTTATCTGGCCAGCGCTCGCGCGCGCGAGGTGCTGCTGGTTTTTCCTCCAGCGACCCAAGCGCGTCGATGGTCATAGGGCGTCCACGCATGTTCGCTCCAAGCTTGTATGCAAATATGCCGCTCTCGACAGCTCCAAGCATCCTCTCATCTTCGTCCCGGACGCGCTGCGAAGACTCGAGCTTCGACAGGCGGTCGGTCACTGCGGCGAGGGCCGCAAGAATCTTGTCGTCGGTTGCCTTGCTCCTTTCGCGAGCGGGCGGTACTTCGACGACTCCCGGAGTGTTCATCGACGAGGGCACACGCGCGACACCTCCTGGTGTCTTGGGGGTCGCTTCAGTTTCTCTAGCCATTGGGCTCATAACCTCTGGGAAGTAGTATGCGCAGTAGAAAGACGATTGGATTCTGTGTTCCTTCTCACAGTTTCTCTTGTCTGCCTCCTAGCCACTCGTTCTCAACGACAGATGGTTGCTGACCAACCTGTCTACTACCATCTTGCTCTGACTATCCCTGACTAGATTGACGGCTGGCGCTAATCGAAACCACGAACTTCGACCTCAGCTTCCAACACCACATCGGTCGCAGCAACTCACAGAAGTGTTCTCGGCTTCTATCCGAGCTGTTCTTTATCTATTGCTAGCTCGAACTTCGCTCGGCTGCTTTCACACTACCTCTTGCTCCTCCCCGTGACCAGTGTGCGACAACTGCGAGCTCACACCTGATACAAATGGAATGAACAATACATGTTTGTTGTGTGATCTTCTGCGGCATAAACCTCCGTGTCGGTGCTCTGTTCTCCGCGTGAAACAGCGCATGTGCGACTACATGATCACGTCATGGGTCGTAACAAACATGTGATCGGAACAGGGTATCCTGCAAGTACACGACTTGCTGCATAGCACACGCCTCTCTTATGGCTGCACCTCACCCACAAGTACCACAAGATGCTCGAGGGTGGTTTTACAAGCGACTAAGACTGTCTTGCTGCCACAGCGTTTGCACACATGTGGGACAGTAGCGTTTCCTCGAGCTAGTAGACCAGTTGGTACGCCCTAGCAACACCAACTACGACTTCAGGTGTTGCTGTCTTTGCAGAGCACATGAAGGCACGAGGTAAAAGTCATCACTGCGCATGTGCGCGCTTTGTTTGGTTCGTTTGTGCTCCTGCGACTGAGCTATTGCTCGTTACTTTGCGTGATCATTATCAAGCTTACGGTTGAGGGGGCACACATACATGCAGCATTGTAAACACCAGCACAAGTGGTAGAGCAATCACCTCACGTGCAGCGGCCACGAGATCGTCGGCTGTGCGTTTGTATGCATCGCTGGACCAGCATCAACGCGAGCTCCAAGATGTGCACATACGAAGCGAGAGGAGAGATCTGCATGAGTCTTGTGGCTTCGCAGCGATAGTGCACGATGAGGGCTGTATCAAAATTACAGACACCAGTTGTTGTACAAGCGCTGGGCTGCACTCTTGTTGCCTTTTGTGCTGCAAGTGTCATCATCTCGTCCTTTGAGACAAACTTGGCCGATGCCGTAGCTGGACCTCCGACAGCTTTGGTCCCAGGAAATGGGTAGCGCTGTCTCGCATCGAGACCCGTCTCGTCATCGCCATCGGCTGTTTGTTAAGGGTCAGCTCCGTATTTGCACTCTGTCGTTTGTCGATGTCCGACAGACCGTCGTACTGCAGTGAAGGCTGACGTCATGGCTTGAGCCGTCAGAGCAAACGTTAGCTTTCAAGAGCGTCGTTCTTATGCAATGTGTTGCAATTGCACCTACGTCCGCCGGAAAGGAACGAGCTCATGACAGTAGTCACGAATGCGCGATGACAATTTTTAAGCCAGAAAACAGCTACGAAGCGTGTTCAATTGCACCAGAACAACGTGTGTTCGTACTCCGCTGCTTGGATTTACATGCTGCGTCCAGGATCCGGTTTTCTTATGCAGCTTTGGTTCTTCGCGCCGCTAACACTAATCAATGGCAAAGGCGGACTTTCGAGCCATTGGTTTCGTACGGACTTGAGGCAGCGCGAAGCAACGGCCATCGGGCCAAAGCATTTACTCACGACAAGTCACCGGTCGAACGAACACGAAGCCACTAGGCCGTCGACAACGAAACTGGAGTCAAATCGATTGCACAAACCTTCGTAGTGCTGCGAGTTCTACAGTGTTGGAGACGGCGGTTTTGTCTTCCAGGCTTTAGAAAAACATGATGAATAATGTATAGTGCACATGCACATTGCATTTGTTATGTTGACGGAGTACGCGCAGAAGGTCAACGGGTACTTCATCTCACGTATGCAACAAGCATCAAGAAGCCAAACGTAAGATCGTTTACGAATAAACTCGGGGTCGACTTCTCGCATTTGCATCCACCTCTTTCTGGTCACCACGACTCACGTCTAGTTCAGTATTGCTGAATAATTTGCGTTGTCACCGAGGATGGAGCCCAGGGAAGAACGCTTCAGCCGCTTGCATGACGTAGTCGTTGCGCGCTGGTGAAAGGCGAACGCTGACCCGACTTGCTGCAGTGTCTTTGTACCGCTTTGCTCACTCATGCCAAATCACTGCCGCTATGTATGTATATAAAGAGACGGCGATGTACATTTGAAACAATGACATCATAGCGTTCCGTCGCACCCTTTTTGCTGCGCTACACCAGTTGCGCTCTTGGCGCTCTGGTGCTGCTCTTCGCTCGTTTTCGTTTTTTGGTCATCAATGACATTGTTGCTCTCGAAACGTCATATGTGCAAGTTCTTCTGTGCCTCGCGAGGCTCCGGGCGACATTTTCAACGATTTGTTGACCGAACACTTACCTCACAGTCATAGGTCACCGTGCCACGTCGGTAGCCGGTCGTGTAGATCTATTGACTTCCTCAATAAGTATGGAGCATCTCGTCGACTCCTGTACACGTGATAGCTCTGTGATCATGCAGCCGTCTGCGGAATACGATGATATAGTCTCTCATAGGTCGACTACCGTTTGCCAGACACGTGGCGTTGCATTCTCTACTCTTCTGCGTGTGTCGAAGTATGTTTTGCCGAAAACGAAACAGCTACGTGTGCCGCAGAGAGCGGTGTACTGACCGTCGCGGGAAATCAAAGCACCGGTCGTGTTGACGACTACAGCGCTGACGTGTTGAAGGCGATCGGGTCGACAATCGAGTCGAACGTACGCAATGTGTCCGCTCAAAGCGTAATGTTCGACACGTATAATTGCGCAGTAGCTTCGAGAACATTGCTCCGCACATCGTACTCGTCCCGACGCCAGGACTTTTGACTGCGACCTGCTCATGTCCGCTTCTACCTCACGATAGCGATAGCTCGTGAAGCTGCTGACTGCAAATCACGAATAGGTCTTGGAAAGCGGACGTGTTGGAGACGTAGAAACTGTTGCTGGCGTCCACCAGTTGCTTTGGTTGTCCTTCGAGTTTGAGCGCTCCATTACGCGGCCTTGAGATCGACGACTTCCGTCAATGTCGCACGCGCAATGATTGTCTCGACGGCAGTGGGTGGAGGGGCTCCGTCCGTCGTTCTCTGCGATCTTGAAGTCCGCCAATCTTGCGGATCGTTTTTTGGTTCGCAGGGCCCGTCTGTTGTCAGTATCTCTCCGGACAGCTCGCCGATACTCGTCGTGTGGCAGTGATGTTTCAGCGGTAAGCTATGACCACATCCACCTATTCATGTGGAGCTCGAAGCACACGCGCAATTATATATATACATACAAAGGCAAAGGATGCAGACGACTCCTGTGCGTGGGACGACTCTAATGCATGAGCTGCCTGAGCCGTAGTCCAAAGATTTGATGACAGTAGTGACGCCGCAAAAGACCCCCAGCCCCGTTGCCCTCGCGAGTTCTTTCGAAGGACTGCTGCGGTAGGACGGACAGTGAGCGTGAAGGCCATAATCACACTGTGCATTACTGCTGAGGAACCCGCTGGCACGAGCAGAAATGTCAAGCGCTGGTAGCCCCTCCACGACATCCCCGAACAGCTGTTGTTTGCCAATACAAACGCGGTCAACGCCCTCGTCACCTCAGCATCCTGATGTTGTGCTTGCAGAATACGCTGAGGCTGTGGTCGTACAACTGCACTCGTTGTAAATACGCCACGCTGGCTGTGTGCACCGATACAGAATGTCGTTAACACGTCTGCTGCGTCATCGTATCTCAGTCCACAAATGAAGAGAGCAACGAGTCCACTCCATCGTCTCCTCCAGCGAAAAAGATGTCACAGCCGCATCGACGCTTCACTCTCTCCCCGCAAAACGCAGCGACCTGTGCAATCGAAACAACTTTCTGTGCACTGCGTCCACACAAAAGCCCTCTCGCAAGCACACGACGTGCCCCACCTCCTCCTCTCGCCCTGCGCGTCTACTCGCGCCACACGACTTTGTCCTCAATGGGTTTGCGCACGCCCTGGACACGCACCGCACGCGGCTTCGGCATCCCCACGTAAAAGAGCCCGAGGCACCGGTCTGCGTCGCCCAACTGCAAGTACGCTTTCATCTTCTGCGTCTCCGTCGTGATCGCCCCCGAGCTCCAGTACGCGCCCACGCCGTGCGCTGTGGCCACGAGGTGCATGTTCTGCACCGCACACGCGACGGCGCACACTTCTTCCCACTCGGGGATCTTGCCGCGTTTCTGTCGCTTGAGACAAATCGCAACCACATACGACGACGTCGCGCAGTTGTCGACGAGTTTCTGGCACTTGGACGGCAGCACTTTGTGCGGCGCGACGGTCGTCCGGTACACTGTGGCCAGAAACTCCCCGAGCGCCCGACGCGCGGCCGGCGAGGCGAACACGACAAAGCGCCAGGGCTCGGTCCGGCCGTGCGTGGGCGCCCAGTTGGCGCTCTCCAGCATCTGGTCCAGCACGGCGCGGGGCACGGCGCGGTCGCGGTCGTAGTCGAGCGGGAAGACGCTGCGACGCGCGGCCACGAGCGCCTCGGCGGTCCAGAGCCGCTCGCCGCGTCCTGTGTGCAGCGACGCGCGCAGGTTCAGCGCGTAGAGCGCCAGGCCGACGCCCGCCGCGCTCGCCGCGACGGCAACGGCCGTCCACGTTGCCATTTGAGCAAAGGGCAATGCGCACTGGGATCGACGATAGAGAGTGATGGTCAGGGAAACCTGAGGCCGTATGGGACGTGGACCACACAAACTGGCGCGTCATTCCCTTTAGCAGCTGAGCCGAACGCGCGCGCATTCGCGAGTGTGCCCCACCTATAAGCGGTAACACATCGTTGATCGATGTCACTCAGCTACTCCGCACGCCATTCTTTTTAAACACAAATCGAAGACTATAGATGGCGAGAGTATGTTACTTGCGTCGGTTTAATAGTCTCGGATTGCGATTTGACAAATTTTCCGCCAGGTTATAGGACCCTAAAGCTCGGAGACTTTTATCGATTTCGGCTCGCAGTGAGCCACCATTGGCCGCCCAAATTCCCCGCCTAGACTTCTTCTTCTCAATTTTTTTGAAAATCTTCACGTTCATCCCTAATAATTCGTAGACGAATCAGCGTAAAAAGTCATTTTTGCAGTCTTACAAGTGCAAAAACGGCTGTCATCTGCCTAAACGACATTGTGTGCCTGTTTATGTCCTCTATATCCAAAAAATGACGGATCCATTCATCCAAATCCATCTAAACCCATCATGACGTTTTGCCAAAACTACTGAAAGCACAATAATGGCAGCAGCTAAAACGTTCACATCCGTTCAAAATTCAATTGGAACCTTACAATGCCACCGATCCTTCTGTACGGCGTATTCGGCAGCCTTCCTCGTCAGGATCTTGCGATATACGTCCATGTCCCCGAAGCACTTTCGAGCATGGCGACGGATGGTAGTGAGCGAGACGATTTCGCAAGGGATTGTAAGACCACGTGCTCGAGGCCTTGTTCGAGCGTGGCATTTGCCGCTTCCCCGAGAACAGTTCGCTGCAGAAAAAAGCGGTTTTAAGCGCGAAACAAACGGCGAAACACCAGCTTTTACTCTGTTTCAAATGGAGCCGCCGAAAAGAAAAAGTCAGAGATTATAGAAGGCGCAAACTGTACGTCGGGGACTCGGGACACCCGTTTGCGCCTTTCCCGTTTCGCTAATGCGCGCGCGCTCGGCTCAGCTGCTCCGTCGGTCGCTCGCTCGGCCCCATGTCGCGGCCGCGTGCTCGCGCGCGCCATGGGACACGCGCGGCAGGCAGACGTCCGCCCGTGCGCCATGGAACTGGTACGTCACGGCCGCCGCCGCCGCCGCGATGACGACGATGGTTGGACTCTGGCCGTCGCCGCCCAGCCGCCAAGAGCCAATCAAAAGCCTCGAAACCGACGACGCATCCCGTGGCTTCCCGGCCGACGACGCAGTTGATGCGGCGGCGGGCGACGTGCGCGCGGACCTCCCGACGTATTCGCTGGCGCACGTGCAGCAGCACACGGACGCGCACAAGGGCACGAGCACGTGGGTCGTCTACAGGCACGGGGTGTACGACATTGCGCCGTTCGTGGCGTCGCATCCAGGCGGTCCGAAGATCCTATTGGCTGCCGGCAAGTCCATTGAGCCCTTTTGGCAGCTCTACGCCGCGCACAACCACAAGGACGTGCACGCGGTCCTCGAGACGCTGCGGGTCGGGAACCTCCACGCGGACGACGTGGCCGCGCTCGAAGCCGCGCGGCAACAGCAGTTTGGCGACGGCCCGTACAGTCGCGACCCCGTGCGCCACCCGGCGCTCAAGGTGAACTCGCACACGCCGTTCAATGCCGAGCCGCCGCCGGAGCTCCTCATGGAGTCGTTCCTCACGCCCAATGAGTTGTTTTTCGTCCGCAATCATTTGCCGGTGCCGGACGTCGACGTGGCGACGTTTACGCTCGAGATTGCCGGGCCAGGGGGCGCGGAGAAACCCTCGCACACAACGTTCACGCTGGACGAGTTGAAAACGAAGTTTCGACACCATACGGTCACGACGACCATACAATGTGCGGGCAATCGACGCGCGGAGATGTCGCACGTGAAGCGCGTGAATGGACTGAGTTGGGGCACGACGGCTCTGTCGACGGCCAAGTGGACGGGCGTACTGCTGGCCGACGTGCTCGCGAGTGTCGGTGTGACGGACGAAGATGTGCGCGATGGGCCGTGTGAGGCCGACGACGAACGCGGTGGCGGTAGCGCGTCCCTGATCCAGCACGTGCAATTTGAGGGACTGGACATGGACACGGAGGGCAATTGCTACGGCGCGTCGATTCCGATCTCGACTGCTCTGGATCCGAGAAAAGATGTGCTGCTCGCGTTTGAGATGAATGGCGAGCCCATCCCGCGTGACCATGGGTACCCTCTTCGTGCAATTGTCCCGGGCACGGTCGGTGCTCGCAACGTGAAGTTTGTTCACCGCATTGTGCTGTCGAGCGAGGAGAGCCCTAGCTTTTGGCAGCAGCGCGACTACAAGGGCTTTCCACCTAATGTGGATTACTCTCGTGACGACTTTTGGAAGTTTGCTGGTGATTCGATCCAGGAGCTGCCGGTCCAGTCGGCGATCACCGAGCCAAAAGACGGCTCTGTTTGCTTTGTGGACGATGCCTCTGACAGCTCTGTCGTGACTGTGAAGGGGTATGCGTGGAGTGGCGGTGGTCGCAATATCATCCGTGTGGACGTGTCGGTGGACGGCGGTAAGACCTGGACACCAGCTGACCTGCACGAGTTTGGCAAACGCCAAAAATACAACCGTGCGTGGGCTTGGACTCCATGGGAGCTCGATGTGGAGGTTCCGCCAGGCACAAAGAAACTGGACATTATATGCAAGGCTGTGGATGCAAGTTACAACGTGCAACCCGACACCATCGCTCCCACTTGGAATATGCGTGGCGTGCTAAACAGCGCGTGGCACAGGGTCCACGTCATGGTAGAGGAGTCAAGCACGGAAGATAAAGATGACGAAGATGACTTGGGTGCTTGAGACTGTGCGTACGTAGCGGCACGAATCGTACTAGCCCGACAGCGATCTGTGTTCCTGGCGGCTTGGATCCAGAGGACTTTGGGGCATGGTATTGAAAAAATAAAGGGATAAGCGCGTCGATAATTTTGACTACTTTATCAGTTACCGCTTGAGTACAACACGGAGTTCAGTTGCTCACGTCGTGACGTGGAACCGCAGACCGCAATCGACTCGCGATTAGTCTTAGCAGTAGCTTTAGGCAATTGTTCTGCCCACATAGCAGGAGCTCATATCAATGCTTCTTACCAGCAGGCAGAAAGCCGAGACACTGGAATTCTTTCATGTGGGAATCAACTGAGTGCTTGTAGTTGGCAATTTGAGAGGTGTGTAGTCTGTCTGACACGTCGGTATGGATTGTGCCGTGGAGAATGACAGGTCGTGAATGCCTTCGTAAACAATACTCTCATCAGCAGTTGAAGTTTTATAAGTTTAACAATGTTAACAAAATTTGGGTACTAATGCTTTTCGTTGTCCACATCCCCCGCCCGACACGTCTACGGTGCTGCAACAACACAGGAAGTCAAGGCTACTCCCATGCAAGTTACAACGACACACAAGGCGGATTTATGATGCCCGCATATTGAAGCTAGGTGTCCACACTGAGGCAACACTTTGTGCTGTGGAGTTTACAGTCGATTTGCAATGCACATGCGCCGGTGGTCACTACTTTCAATTCTTTCTGCCGTGAAGTTCGTTGACATTTTGTATCTGGGGACGCTGGCGTCAAGCACATATTGCCGAGATGCGTCGGTAGCATCAGGCATCTGACACTACGAACCTGAGAGCGCTTGGGACGCGTTGATAGCGTACTCTTCTGAGATATCATGACTGTTGGAGTCGCTTAGTATGGCTGAAGTATCACCACTGGTTCTATCGTGACGACATTGACAGTACATGCGTCGTGACCTTTCTTGCAGCAGAATCTACTTTTGCAGTGATTTCCCTTCTTGGGGCGTACGTGACCAAGTGTGCTCAGCAAAGATCACATGACTGCGAGGTATTCCGACTAAAAGGAGTCATGTGCGGTGCTGTCTTTTTCGAAACGTAGCAAAACGTATGTATGCTGATCAGCGAACAGTGCGAATGAGATAGAAACGGCTCTGAGTGTGGTAAGTAAGATCTGGTGCAATGATATGTTTGCAGCAGTAGCCCCATCAAACTGCAATAAAAAGCCTCAGACAGTCACGTTGATGTAGCTGCAGAATCTGCTACAAGTGCCCCAAGACTGGTTGTTGATAACCTTATTTGTGAGCAATTACGGTCGATCACATGGAAGATATCGATCAATTATTCGGGAGTTGGTGGACGTCTGCCATTTTGATGTCACATCGAGCTAGTGTGTATGGACTTCTTGATCACTGATGGCGACAACATTCAATACTGGAGAAGGGCGAAGTACGCATGGCACGACATGACACTCATCATCGTATATTGCAGATGTGTACAAACTGGCAATCAATTATGGACGGAAAAAGTAATAAACGGTGGTGTGCGAGGATGGCGTGATCAAGAAACGAAACGCAGAAGTCTTCGTGTTTTGCAAGTGCTTTGAGTCAGAAGTTCGCTTAGTCTGAGCTGCGATGTCTTTGGATGCATGTGGGAAAGAGTAGCAAACTAATGGATGATCTTATGTAAGAAATACCTCTTAACGACAGAGGCTGTCAATGTCGGTCTGAAGGTCCTGTAGACTAGTAGCAGGCGAAGTGGGTCAAGATGCATACGCCTGCAGCCAGTAAGACTAGAGTTGACATGTCCATGAGAATATGACGTCAACTGTTGATCACCAGGACGCATACGATGAGTGTCATTTGTTACAACAACAGAAAGGATGGGTGCAAGAAAAGATATGAATCAAGTCGAACAGTCAACGAATTGATCACATACCGCTTGGTACGAAGCAATCGTACAACGATGACCAATTTTTTCTTTTCCGACTGCGCATGTACTTCCGTTAAATGCATGCATTGTGGTGATCAAAGGTCTCTTTCCAGCTACACAGTCTATGACGACCAGCAGCCTGCTTCGGAACCGTAGTAGTGGTGCTTTGCTTGGAGTCATGCAAATCTTACAGGCATGACGGGTCAATATAATTTGTGTAGCCGAAATGGAAAGGTGGCAGCCGTAAGAAATTGATGCTACCGACATAGGACCAAAGATCGTACACTCGCTCACACTAACGCGATCACACAATCGTCATTGGTGGCCATGGCGAATGATGCAGCAATGGGGTCATGAAGGTATCGAGGCCAGAGGCATCGGAACAGCTATACACGCTCGAACGCCACATACAAAAATGTGGAAGGAGAATCGGTGCGAACGATGTTTGGGAAGCCAGACTTGTATATCCTTTCGTCCTGACGCTTGATCTACTTTCACTTCTGATCGATTAGAGATACCGTACGACAATGTCAGTGTCGCGATGTGTCATTGGTTGCGTAGTGCAACTGATAGTGCGAGGTGTGAAGTATACACTGCCAAGAGCATGCAGCACATTGGTGACTGACTTGAGGGTAGCAATGAAGGCCGATTCCCGTGACCGCCACGATGTCGATCTGAACAGATCTGACTCTTTTTCCTCTTTGTTCAAAAAGTCAGTGACTGGCGATGCATTCGACCAAACCAACATGCTGCCGATCGAAACATCAATGACTAGGATGTAGGAAGCAAGTACGGCAAACGGTGTACGTCTTGGATACAAGCTGTCTCGATGCTACTGCGTACCCATCTGAACCAGATATCACCACTGCTAGTGTGGCGTGGTCAGGATTGCGACCATAGGAATGTCAATAACATTTACGATACAAAATAGTCTTTGGAAGTGTGTGTCAAAGCTAGTCGCATTCGGGTGACATTTATATCGGTCTTCTTTGCGCTTAGAGTGATACGCAGACAAGTGATTTCTCCACTTGCGTTGGCTGTACAACATCAACGTGAGAGATTTGGCTGTATTGAGTAAGTGGAGATAACTATCGCAAGTGCTCCAAGCAATCGCAACAAAAAAGCCGATCTTTGGCAAAGTCGCCAAGCTGTCTTCGTAGCGTATCATGTTCAATTCATACGTACTTCATCAGCGTTAAGGATGGCATTGCGTACACATACAGCACAATTACAAAAGTGCAGAGCGAGATGTGTTGATGGTGATTGAGTCTGCAAAAGCTTTGTCCTGAGTATCTTGACGAAAAGTCGGAACAGTGCCATACGAGTCCATCCAGGTCTAGTGGACAGCGATGTCAAGTCTATGGACTAGGCTCAATCTTGTACCACTAGAATGCTGAAGATGGCGATAGAGACCGATACTTTCTATGGCGATGGCTGCATCCAAAGCAAATGCGTGACGCAGAAATGTCCCAGCATATGCGAAAAGAGGAGCATGCAGCTAAAGAAAAGCGAAAGGAGTCCGAGATTTCAGGCTGTGCATCTCATGTTTGAGTGTAGCATTGCGGTGATAGGCAGAGCACCAGACATCTCGTTCTACGTTGTGCGAATTGCTCGCTCTAGTAACAAACAACACAACGGTTGTGCAATCGCTAGATCAAACGTCTGGGCCCACTTTGCAAGTTCATGATGAGTCGACTGCCTTACGAAAGGGAGTTGCACGGCTTAGCTCGTCTTCGACGCTGACGCTTGCACGGGATTGCGATACGCGTGCTCGTCGTCAAATGAATCACTAGTTGTAGCTGTTCAGGAGAAGCTGGATACAATCAATCGACCGCGTGAGAGCTGAAATATACGATACGACAGTCTCGTATAGCACACAAAACGTGGATGTAATACCGACATGAAGGTGACATGATCTTGTGCGCGAACTTACCGAAGTGAACGAATGTTGAATTGATCGACGGTGGACAGTACACGACAATACAGATGATGAAGCTCTACAGCGCGTAAAGGTTGCCAGCACAATCGATTGCGGGTGGGATTGGCAGCACGAAGAGCTACGTATGTCAACAAAAATGTACGTCGAAGTGCCTGAACAGATTTCATCCCCGCAGGAGTGTATGATGTACAAGTCGAACACGAACAGATGGACGCATCTTGCTTGCGCTGGCGATCTCGCGGATGTTGCACTGAAAACGTGCGTATCGATTCGATTCCGTAACATCCATTTCATACGACCGCGAACTCGTGATTCAATTTAACGTTTGCATGTTGGCTATGGCGTCGCCATTTCGTACGTCCTTTTCGTGTAGATGCGGGATGGAGTGTGGACAGATCGATTGCTAGCGCTACGTGATGAAGGCGAACAGTCATGAACTGAGTGCGCGTCAATGCGCCTCCAGCCGATGGTGCAACATCGAAAGGTTACATGTCGAAGGACACCGAAAGCGCTCATCGAGGTTTGCGATGTGCCGTGAGACAAAATGACGCGGAACACGAATGTCGTGACACAGCAATCATCGACGGCACGCAATATGACACAATCTGTTTGACAGGTAGGCGACGATGGACGTGATGGCACACATGCGACCCTCACACACATTCGAGATGGAACTATCTATGTCTGCAGAAGATCTGAGCATACAGTCTGGATTTGCACAGCAGCGGACAGGGAAGACAGTCGTCGTTTGGCACAAGTGATCAGGTCGAAAAGCGATCTTTGAGAAGGCTGTGCGATGCAAATCTCATGCAGAGATATAGCGACCTGGACGACCACTAGCAAGAGGAAAAGCTCATAAGGTGCAATGCCTGAGTTCAGTGCAGTAGTACGTGATGATCGGGACCCACAAGTCCAGCGTCGAATCTCAGTAAGGCACACGTAGGTGATCGATCGACTGACGGAGTGACTGGAAACGGTGTTGCGTTCATCAGTCCTTCTACTGTTGAAACACACCTGACGTGCTTTCGATGTGCCAGACGGACGCAAAGGTATACGTCATGTCCATCACTCCTCAACAAGAATACTCGAAACGAACAACGCGGATTTACGCACCACCGGGTACATCCCCACTCGGTCCGTGCGTGACAAGAAGAACCCTCGGCAGTAAAGTCAGGGAAGCAGCCGAAAAACGCCTTTTCGCTGTCAAACGCACAAAAAGCGTCTTTTTCGTCGGATCTCAATCACTTTTTTGTTCGGCGATCGAACCACCCGGTTTTACGTACCCCTGTGTTGCGCCGTGTCACTCTTTTGAAACCACTTGATTCGCAAGCAGGTTTTAAACCACCGCGCGGAGGAGGAGCCACTTGTCATTTCGCGCGCTCGTTGCGAGAGGATCTGCGGTGCTGTGCGGCGGAGAGAGAGTGGCTGTTGACATGGAACTGCAACAGGATGCGCTGGACGAGGCCTTCCGTCGCCACAAACAGTACTTTCACGACTTCTTGAGCAACGACGAGGTGCGTGCCGTCGACGGCGGTTGCGTGTCTGTTATGACAAAACCGACTCGTGCCTGAATCATAGTGTGGTGTGTTTTTATGTGGTGCTCACTGTGGCTCCTGTTTTCTGCGTTTCTTATTGATGTTATGACTACGGCTGTGATGATTGATGTTATGACTACTGCTGTAATGATTGATGTTATGATTCCTGTTATGATTGATGATATGATCGTTACTACTCTTATTATCGTCACTACTGTCATTGCTGTTTTTTTCACTGCTTCGTTTGATGGTCTTGTTGTTGTTATAGGCAACGTATGGTAATTACACGGACAAACTTCGCAGTATGATGCACCACAAACGCACGCGGCTGGTCATTGATCTCAATGACTTGCGCGAGTACGACAGTTCGTTCACAGATCCTGCCGTCGCAGGCGGTCACGAGAACATTGTGCACCGATTGTTGCGTACTCCTGCCGAGTTTGTGCCTCCGTTCGAAGAGGCAGTGAAAGAGCTGGTCTTGAATCTGGACAGTCTGTACGGGGGCAAAGACGCAGAAGGGACAAAGACAATGCAGTTCCACGTCGGTTTTGAAGGAGACTTTGGCCATCATAACGTGAACCCACGAGGTCTCCTGGCGTCGTACCTGACGCAGATGGTCTGTGTCCATGGCATTGCGACCAAGTGCTCCGCCGTGCGACCAAAAGTCGTGCGTTCCGTGCATTATTGCAGAGAGACCAATGCCATTTTGTCGCGCGAGTATCGAGACAATACGTCGATCACAGGGGCCCCGACGTCGAGTGTTTATCCGACAAAGGACGAACATGGGAATTTGCTAGAGACAGAGTTTGGGTTGTCGCAGTATAAAGACTACCAGATGATTAGTATGCAGGAGACGCCGGAGACAGCGCCACTTGGACAGTTGCCGCGGTCGTGTGAGATCATTGTCGAGAACGACATGGTCGACAAGTGCAAACCTGGCGATCGCGTCCGTGTGGTTGGCATTTACCGTCCTCTGGGTGGAAACAGCACAGCCTCAACGACAGCAGTTTTCCGGACGGTGCTGATTGCCAATAACGTTCAGCTCATGGGCAAAGACGTGAACGGTATTGTCATGTCACCAGACGATCTGCTGAACGTCCGCGAGTTTGCAAAGCACACGAACGCGTTTGAAATGCTCTCGCGGTCGATTGCGCCGTCAATCTACGGTCACGGCGAGATCAAGCAAGCTCTGCTGCTCCAGCTGCTAGGTGGCATGGAGAAGAATTTGGAGAACGGCACACATCTTCGTGGTGACGTCAACGTAAGTGTGTCATCTTGGTCGTGCCGCAAAGGCATGCGCGTTGGTGTTGTTGACGTCTGCTGTTCGTTTTGCAGATCTTGATGGTGGGTGATCCATCGACCGCCAAATCTCAGCTACTGCGTTTCGTTCGGACGATCGCGCCTCTGGCCGTCAACACTACAGGTCGTGGTTCGTCCGGCGTAGGTTTGACGGCTGCTGTTACCATTGACCCTGACACCAAGGAGCGCCGACTCGAAGCTGGTGCCATGGTACTTGCTGACCGAGGCATTGTATGTATCGACGAGTTCGACAAAATGAGGTAAGCTGACTTGCGTTGTAGCTCTGCGCATCGAACGTAGCTGACTTGGGTGCCCATTGTAGCGAAGCAGATCGTGTGGCTATTCACGAAGTCATGGAACAGCAGACAGTGACGATTGCTAAGGCCGGCATCCACGCAACCCTGAACGCCCGCTGCAGTGTTCTGGCCGCGGCAAACCCTGTGTATGGCCAGTACGACAAAAACAAGAAGCCGCAGGAGAACATTGGTCTGCCGGATTCGCTCTTGTCCCGTTTCGATTTGCTTTTCGTGGTGCTCGATCGCCTGGATCGGGGTGCCGACCGCAACATCTCCGACCACGTCTTGCGTATGCATCGGTATACGCGCCCAGGCCAAGAAGGCATCCCCCTCTCGTTCGAAGTGAGCTCGACGGATCACATGGCTTCGTTCAACGAACCCGCTGGCGACCAGTCGAAAGTGTCCATTTTCCAGAAATTTGACCCGCTGCTTCATGGCGGGTACCAGTCTTCGTCGTATGCCGGTGGCGGCAACGGTATCCTCACGCTAGATTTTCTCAAGAAGTACATTTATTACGCAAAGATGCGGTACCAGCCCGTGCTGACAGACAGTGCGATCGAGCTGATCTCCGAGGGATACGCAGAGCTGCGTTCGCAGCAGAATGCGCGGACACTGCCTGTGACGGCGCGTACGTTGGAAACGTTGATTCGTCTCGCGTCGGCGCATGCAAAGGCGCGGCTGAGCAAGACCGTCGACGCAGTGGATGCGGAGAAGGCCATGTCTTTGATTAGTTTTGCGCTGTACCATGATGCGTCGGAGCCCCACACCCCGGACGACACACGGCCAGAAGTGGCACGCGAAGCGGAAACCGGCAGCGAGAAGGCCATGGCAGAGTTGGCGATTGAGGCGCCAGTGATACCGGAGAAGCCCCCGTCGGTCGAGAAATCGAGGAAACGAGACCGAGCATCGTGGAGGTACGTCGTGTTTGTGTAGCTTTTTGTTGTACCGATGGACGTGTGTTGACTTGTTTTTTGCATGATGTGGCCATGATATGTTGCTGCAAACAGTTCTGCGACGCTCGCCGATGCCATTCTGAGCTTACTGTCCGAGATGGGCAGCGACGCGACTTTCGACGACGCGAACGACAACATCACGCTGTCGAGCATTCTGTCGCGACTGAATGTCGGTCGCTCGAAGAAGGACGCCGTCGCCCGTGCGGACGTAGAAAAGGTGCTGGTGGACCTCGAAGAGCAGAATAAGGTCATGTACATCCAGGACGGCGAGGATCCGATGGTCATGCTCATCTAGACAGGGAGCGACTGCTGGTGCAGCCATCTACCAATCGTTCGCCCGTCCAGGTAAGACCGAATCAAGAATGTCTATTTGGCATCGGATACAAAAGACCGTCTCAACTCGCTCTCTCTCTCTCTCTCTCTGTTGTCTGAAGTCGTCAGCCTCTGTATCGGACCAGTCCAAGTGAGACGTTGCTACGGCTTCTTCCGGTCGTTCGGGACTTTGGTCCAACACTGCACCGTCGTGACGTCTACGTAGGCCTCCAAGCTCGCGAATGCCGCGAAATGGCTCAAGAAAGTGGTCTCCGAGTTGTCTGCTGCGTCTCTTTTTCTCGTGGAGTGCTGTTGAAGTGCCGCGTGGGGTGTCGTCCCGTGCTCGACCTGTTGCGTGAGCGGCTGAAGCGATTTGGATACGTTGGTGGAGAAGCGGCGCATGGGTCGCGAGTCGGGTAAAATGTGAGCCACTCACTTTCGTCCTCACTGCGTTCGAACGCGTGGTACTCAATTGTCGCCCACGCTGTCGAGTACTCTCACAATGTGAGGCATAACGAGTGTATGTGTCCGCGTTGATCCGAATTCTGACGTGGTCGCAGCTACTGTGTGAAAAGTGTCGGTTTTGGCCAACTAATCGCTGACAATTATGATAGAAAAAGTGCAAACTTGTGCTGCCGCCGAGTCACGTGGTCAGAAATGGAATCGACGCGCGCGACCACAAAAGTGGCAAAAACGCGCCCGCGGGCGATCGTTTTTTTTGCGACTTTTTTTATCGCTGGGAAGCGGTTTTTGCCGATGCTTTTTTATTTTACTTGCACGTGGCACGCCGTTTCTAACGCAGCGTATTTTTCTTTCTTCTGCACGACGTCGTCGCTTTCTTTCTAACCTGATCGTCCGTCGCTACAGATTCGCCCACTTTTTTAGGCATATTGCAGCTGTATCTTGCTCTTTCTTTTCACCAATCGCCCGTCAGAAGTCATCGTGAGACTTACCGAATCCATCGTGCAAAATAAAAAAAAACATCTTTTTCGCAGTAGCTTACACGAAATAGCTGCACTTGCGTCGGCTTTCGGTCGTCATATATAACAACCAAATGCTGGCACGTCCACTCTACCGCTCTGCTGTGCAGCCGCGCCACGTCGTGCCCCGTCGTATCGCCCGTCATCGCGTACTGTGTTCGGGTCCGACGAAGCAGATCGCGAGCGCTGCGGTCCCGTTGAAAGTCGGCGTTGCTGCAGGTACGACAGATGCCGTCCCATCTCTGTGTCGGATTTAGTTTACTTACCACGTTGCCGCTCGAACGCTCGAGATCGCTATATTTTGCACTGGAAAACAATCACTGCTCTCTAACTGTATTGCACTTTGTGTGACCATAATACGACATAGGCAGTGTAGCAGGTCTCGTCTCAGGCCTCACGGGTGTTGGCGGAGGTATTGTTCTGATTCCGGTATGACCGATTTCCGATTGGTCCGATCATAAATCCCGACACATTGTCCAATGGATTCACGTCTTCCTACATGTGCCAATGTGTTTTCTGTACCCATATAGGTGTTGGCCAAGTTCACGTCGTTGTCCCAACAAGTGATCAACGGCACTTCAATAGGCGCCGTGGCCATTGCTGCATCAGTTGGCGCGTACAACTACATTCAGTCAGGTGCTTGCAACGTGCCATTGGCATTGGCCACGACCGTTCCTGCGATTTTCGCCACGAAATACGGCGTGCAGACGGCCCATCGACTGTCCAGTCCAAAGTTGTCGCTGCTCGTGGGCGCTGCTATGCTCGCGTGCTCGCCGCTGATCTTCCTCAAGAACAGCTCTCATATGCCCAAGTGGAGCGACGGGCAGAACCCACTGGATCTCCAGTTTTTCGTCCCGCAGCAAAAGGATCTTGAAAAGACGCAATCGATTTTGGAGTCCAGCAAAGCAGTGTACCCATCAAGTGCAGCAAACTTGTCGACAGCAGTGTCAAAGCAGTACGTGGCCCGCGTACAGGCCGACTGGACAGGTTTTGCGGCCGTGAATGTCAAGTATGCGTTTGCTGGGGCAGCTGCTGGGTTCATCTCGGGACTCTGTGGACTGGGAGGAGGGATCCTCATCACGTCGTACCTCACGGCTGCGAGCGACATGCCACAAGCCACGATCATCGGCACGTCACTGCTGTCGGTCGTCCCTACCGCTGCATCGTCGACGATATTCAATCTGCGGGCAAAGTCAGTGCACTTGCCAACTGCCGCACGCATTGGCGGCTCGCTGGCTCTTGCAGTGTATGGCACTTCCAAGTACATAACGCATGACGTGCCGGAAGACGTTCTACGTGGCGTGCTGGGCACTACGCTGGGCGCTGCAGCCCTCATCATGATGCGCCGTGCCATGTAGACAGACGGCTTTCATCAAGACACTACCGTCGTGGCACTCGGTCGAACGAAAACAAATCAATAATAGCATTGCAGCTTCACACGAACAACACGGACCTGCTCTCGTTTTGCTCTCGTTCATCACGCTCTACTTGTTCTTCTTCTTCTCGTATACAGCTTCATGCGTCTCGGGATCAACGCCAAAAATATCAACATAGTCCACAGTCGGGATGCCCCAACTCGTTGTCATCTGGACAAACACTCGGCGCAGGACCATCCCCTTCTTGCCGCCGATTGTCGTCACAGCCATCACATTGCCATGTTTGTCCAGACGCAAAACGCAGTCACGATCGCGTAACGAAGCGATCGCGACCATAAACTCGCCCGGCACTTCGTGGGGCTTCGCTGTCACGCCGTACGCTGTCGTGCGCTCAATCATGTTCAGCTCTTCCCGTGGGTTGCCCTCCTTCTCGAACATGATCCAGTAGACCTTAATGGGGTTCGTTTGGTCCAGCGACGTCCCCCCCGCTGACTTGCAGCCGGCATACACGACCGTGTTGGCGTTCTGCAGACAGTGCACACATTGCGCTGTTAGACCGCAGCCACGTGTTCACAATACCTCAACACCACCACAGTAGACACCGCTCCCGGCACTACTACATCCAAAACAGTCAGTCATCAAGTGCTCGTTGGCGTACATTGCTCCGTTGGATGATAAACGCCACATTTGGCTCATCTTTGGCCACCCGTTTCAAGTGCTGATCCATTGGCAGCACCGGTCTCGAGTCGCGTCCATCGACAGCAGCCGACCTGCAAAAAACATCACACAGTCACAGTCACAGTCACAACAACCACAGCAACAGCAACAGCACAATATGTTGGTATCAAACGTGCACTGTTTGCTCGCTCGCGCTTTTTTGTGCGCGATATGTCGAAACGACAGGTCGACCGACCGACCGACCGACCGCCCAGTTGATATGTCGCAACACATATCCACTCACGTCATATCGTCTGCCGCGACCTTTGGCTTGTCTTCGTTCGCCCCGTCTGTGTCCTTTGTATTAAACACCGCCCTTGATAGCCGGTGGTTCGGTTCGCCCTCTTTACAAGCCCCCCGCGCTTCTATTTGGGCCGTGTCGGCAACTAATCCACTCGGCTTTTTCGCGTTTTTCAGCTTTCTGCCCTCGCGAGTGCTTTCTTTTAGCCGCGCTTTCTTGTCTAAAATCAGTACATTCACGGCCGCGAGCTCCTGCTCCAGCGCGCGCCGCCGCGTCTCGAGCGCCGCCACTTCGTCCGCCAGCACGCGCGTCAGGTCCTGCTGCTCCCGCTTGAGCGCCACCTCCAGCGCCCGGATCTTGCCCTCGCGCTCGTCCAGTTCGTGCTGGAGGGCGCTCACGACGAACTGCGCCTGCTCTGTGGTCTCGTTGCCCCAGAGCCAGCTCATGACGCGTGTCTGAGTCGGGGTCTGAGTCGGGGCGGGAGGAGGTCACTCGCGCGGGGGGGAGGGTGCATGGCCTGCTGTCGGCCGAATGGGAGGATAGAGTCGACAGACGACGACACGGGTGAGGAACACTTTTTTTTAGGGCCATTAGAGTGGCGGATATGGTCGATGCAGTAGCGTTAGGGACGGTTCTATTGCTGTGTTTGCCGCAGCAGGCGTTGCTGCTTTCTATCGATCGTGGACGGCTTTTCCCTCGCGACAGTGGCAGTGCTTGAGCGAGCGAGAAAGAAATGGTGGCTGCCCGTTTCTATCGCTGACCAATAATGGCCTCAGATGTTTTCGCGCGACCACAGGTTTCTCTCTCTCTATAGCGATAACAAAAGTAGCGAAACACGTTGGCAGTCGTTTGCCATCGCGGCGGACACCTCCTGCGCGCCCTGCACAATGACGGTCGATCCCAGAGACAGCATTGCCAGCTGCATATGCCGAATAAGAGACACAATAAGGTTTCCATTCTGAGCTTTCGCCTACGATACATACCAAGTCGCGATAGTGGCAGCTTTAGGACCACTCTATCCGCCAGCATCAAAGTACGAAGCGAAGACGGGACATGTGTGGTCTAGTCCCCCACCACTTTTGGCTATTCCGCCACTGTTTCTGCTGGTAACGGTACCACTTTGGCGGAGATGACGCAGTGAGCTGCTGCCGATCGCCTCTTCTGTGTCGAATAGTGAGACGTCGAACATCGCTCTCTCAGGCCGCTTAGGGCTTTTTTGACATGCGATTCGCTCGTGGCCTGCAGTAACGCCATCGAATTTGTTCCGACCATTTCCAGCGAACGCGATGGCCATCTGCGGCCGTCTAAGCGCACGACGCGAGAGGATAATCCAACTTTTGTGTTCCTTACTACCGCTCGCCCAGTGACTGTCGATCCAAATGCCTTCTCGACATGTGCTGTTCGTTCGTAAGCAGTTCTTAGCACAAATGAGTGCACTCGCATGTTGTGAAAAAGCAGAGCAGGCGCGTTCACACTTCGGTCCGCGTCTGTTTATTGCTCGACAACACTCAGTGCTGTAGCATAATGGCAATCATGGCGGTCCGTCAGTCATGCTGTCGCTGTGTGCGTCGACCCTACCGTCGCAGCTTGCGGCTCTCAAACTTCCGAAAGCGCGACACAGCGCGATCATCGCTCGCTTGGTTCTTCCTGCCTGCACATAACATACGCCATACGTCAGCACCAACATGTGTACCTCAATCAGGACGCCTTCAGCAACATACCTTGGTGAAACCCTCGCTCCCTTTGTTCATCTGCAAACAACCATCAACATCACGTGCATCAGCAACGTCGACACCACTCACGTCATCAACAACACCGTCTCACGTACCTCGGTTCAGACTCTTCATCTCAGCCACATAGTCGGTCCTGTGTCGATTAAAGTCGACGCTAAAGTTGGCAGGCAGTGCTGTGTTCACCATCCCTCCGATCGCATCCAGCTTTGGGCCACTGCTACGGTGGCTCCTTTCAAGCGCTTTTCTCGTTGCGGCAACTGTCTTCTCCGAGTACATTGACGGCAGTTCCACCTCGGCAATGCCTGCACTGCCCAAGAGCATCCCCCCGTCCGTACCGTCACCGTCACCAGTCCCCTTGTTTTGACGCGAAACGTCCGGTATCAAGTGTGCCGGCAGCTCAAACAGCCGGTCTTCAGCACGCTTGAGAGCTGCACTGGCCTCGTCCATCTGCTGCTGCTGCTGCTCCTTCTGCAGCGCGCCCCCTTTTTGCTGCTTTATCTGCGACAGTTTCTCGTCGATAAACTGGTTCATGAGCTCTTCGTGCTGGTCCTTGTCCGTCGTCGCACTCTGTCCCGTAAACTGTCCATCCAGCAGCGACAAGAGCTTCTGCGACGTCGAGCCGTCTTTTTTCGGGTCATGGAGACCATAAGAGCTCGTGGCACTCGGCGTCGCGCTTTGCCGCGTACTCCATGGCTTCTCCGCCCTGTGATTGGCCAGTTCCGCCTTCAGCAGCTGTTGCCGCAGGCGCTGGTCCTCGCGGAGCTCTTCGATCCGGCGCTGCACGTGCTCCACGTCCTGCGCTTCGTCTCCAATGCCTGCGATGGCGTCTTGTGCGTCGTCCAGTGACTTGTCAGAGGGTCTGCGCCGTCGCTTGTTCGGTACCGCTCCGTCCGTCGTCGTCTTCTTCTTCGTCTTCCGCTTCTTGAAGCTCACGTCCATCGATCGGTCTTTTTGGTGCTATGGTGCAACGAGCGCATCGGATTGGCTGAAAAGACGACGATCCAAGAGCGTCCGTAAGCAACGCAAACAGGTCAGCGTCTTGCGCAACTGGATTGTCCGTCCTGATACCGTGTAGGCCGGTAGGTCTGAGTAGATTGCTCGACAGTTTGAACCGTCCTAATACCGTGTAGGCCGGTAGGTCCGAGTTGATTGCTCGGCAGTTTGAACCGTCCTAATACCGTGTAGGTCGAGCGGTCGGGCCGAGCAGCGCATTCATAAATAGATAGAGGTTTAGCTCGCTGCTGGATCGGTTGATCGACATCGGTACGGATACGAGTCAGTCATTGAAGGCTTACCGTTATGGTGGCGATCGTGGGATGATCGATGGTGGTAGTGGGATTGGCAATGGCGGAGTTGGCGTACGTAGTGGCGGTGGTGACGGATGACTACTGACAACGTGAGACGCGTTGCGTGCGACACGACAAGCGATTGACTCCCCTCGTGCCCGTCCTTCAAGTGGTTGTAACGACGCGACGGGTACTGCACAGCCGCTAGTGAGTTGACCACGCCGTCAGTATCTCGTCTTTTTGTGGCTAACCTCGTTCCGAAGTTGTCACAGATGGCCGAGCGGTCTGCAAGGCCTCGAGACGCGTCCCTTGTTCGAGTCTCGGCTAAACGCACGGTCCACTACCGGAGCCGCGCGGGCCGCAGAAACGAACATCGAGGATCGCAATCACACTATCACTCGTAGAGGAGTCGGAGGGAACGGCCATAGATCGGCCACGTTCGGTCGGTCGCTTGTGCAGTCAACGCACAAGAGGGAGCGAGAGAGAGAGAGAGCGACAGAGCGCGCAAGTCGGTTTGAACAACCCCTTCGACTGCTCGCTCCACGACCCCAACCAACATCACGTTCACATTTAACGGATGCGCGCCGTACTACTCGCAAACACAATAGCAAATCGTCAATGCCGAGCGCATCATTAATCGCAAACGACAAACGTCTTACCAGTACGGGGCCCCGTTGCTCATCCAAGCGGCACGTGTACCATCACGGAGGACGTGCGTTCGGCCCACTCTGGAGGAGCCCCGCGGGCCACGACGTGTGTTGACAGGATATTAAGTTGCACAGGTCCCTCCCTCGTCGCACCCAGCAGATGGGTCCCGTGGCCACCGCTTGCCGCATCGAATCGCTCGCGTGGTCTCATCTGCTGTTCGCGCACAGAAAACAGCCGCGTGTGTTCCTGCTGCGCACCTACGCGCAACATGTAGAGAGCGTCGCCGGCGCGCGTCCTTTTTGCACGGAAACGTTCAGCGCATTACCAGCGCACAGAAAACGGCCACATCCCGTCCCCCCTCGTCTGCCCGATCAGGGCATCGGTCCGGAAGTCGGTTGTTCTCCCCCTAAGTGCGAGTGCACGACCGCGACCGGCCGTCTGGCTATCGCATGTGCCTCTATGGCCGTTTGGCGGTCGCCCGCGACACTGTCACTTGCGAAAGACATGGCGTCCCGACAAAAGGCGCCGACCGCGGCCTCGCGCTCGGTACGCGACTCGAGCGGCTGGCGCCCGAGTCGCTGCAGCTACAGCAGTCGCAGCCCCGCGTTCGACGCGGAAGTGCCGGCGATGATGGAGCCCCAGAGCGACCACAGCGACTTTCTGGCGCGGTCGAGTCTGTTGTCGTTCCGGGGGTCGCGGGTCGTGCGAATGTCGCCGCAACCGCTGCTGCACCACCACCCCCACCTTCTGCCTGCGCACGTGCAACATCACCAGCATCCCAGCGGGCGTAAACATCCGCTGCTGCGTGCGACTGGTGGAAAAGGCGACGGCGCGGGGAATAAGAGCGAATGGGACGACAGCAGCAGCGACACCACGAGCAGCTCCGATAAGAGCGAGTCGCCTACGGCCAACTGGAGCCACTGCACGTCCCGCGTGACGTTTCAGCTCCCGTCGGCCCGTCGGGCACAACCGATCAGCACCAACAGCAGCAACAACAACAACAGCAACAACAACAACAACAGCAGCAGCAACAACAGTGAAGACGACGAAGCCGATGACGCTCAAGAGGTGGGGGACAAAGTGGACGGGACGTCGGTGGACCGCTCGAGTCGGCGACACGATCGGGTCGAGTCGGTACTTGCAGTGATGTCGGCAGTTCCTGTGTCGGGTCCAATTCCGTTACTGGAGCAATGCGACAGCGACGACGACGACAATGACATTGACACGATCATCTGTGACCCGTCGAGGCTGCCCGGGACGCTCGTCGTGGACGAAAATGGCCTCACAGTGTCGCGAGAGAGTGGTCTGGTGCGAGCTGCGAACGTGCCCCGGGGGAGCGTGATCAAGGCGGGGCTGCTGTTCAAACAGGGCTTTGGGCTGCGCAGCGGCGGCTGGAAAGTGCGCTACGTCGTGCTCACGAGCACGAAGATGACGTTCTACCGCGAAGAACGGGGCCGCAAGCGCGGGGAGATTGACTTGGCCAAGTGCAGTGCCAAGAGCGTCGAGATCATGCCCCGGGACTCGGTCTTTGACGGCTCGCAAGCCTCCATGTGGCGCTTTGCCATTCGAGGCAAAGTGCGGCGCGTGCTGCTGAGTGCGTACTCGGAGAGCGAGATGAAAGAGTGGCTGCGGTGTCTGCACGTGGCGCTGGCGGTGCAGGCTGCAGGCGTTGGCCGCTACACGGACCTGGTCGTGCCAAGTGGGACATTTCTAGCCGAGCGAAGTGCTGGACTGATGCGTTCGTCGGGTGTCTCGTAACTCAATGGACAGCGCAACGAGACATCGAGTTGAGAGGCACGTGAGCGCGCGCCCAGGCGAAGCTCGCGGGCTGGAGGTCGGTAGCAGCTGCAGCTACTGCGTCAACGCGTCGCGCAACACGCTGCTGCCGTCCTAGTGTTAATACGCTGCCATTGTAATTTATGTTGCGACCCCTCAGGTGCTGCTGCTACTCCCGTTGAGTTTCGGTCGTGATTTGTGACCATACAGAGCGCCGGCAGGATTGATCGGTGCTCTGCTTTGCATTCAGGTGGCGTCGGGCGTTGCAGCGAAACTGGTCAGGACAAACAAGTGCCGAATGCGCAGCACTGGGACAGCGTCTTGAGCGTCTCTTGTTGCCGCAAGAGAGAGCATCTTCCGGGTCGGTGGAACGACACGGGGTCCGTTCTGACGCTCGGGCTCTGCTCGCTGCAGTTCATTTCGGTTGCTCTGTCTTGCAGTCAGTCGGTCGACCGCAACCGACGTTTGTCCGCCAGCAGATCCTGACTGCACCACTGTAGTGCAGACGTCCAGCTCTCGACACTTTCGGTGCGGGACTGGACTCGACTGCATTGCTGGTCAACGTTCGGCCAGTAGTAGAGAGTCGCACGGACAGGTACACTTGTCCGAACCACCTGCCGCGAAACGTACGAACGCTGCAACTTCTTCGTGCGTGTCCATTGCTCGAGCAAGTGTCTTGCACGGGAATTGCACGAGAGGCTCGCCCCGACTGCATCACCAAGCAGCAGCAACTCCCGCCGAGACGTGATGAAGCTGCGGCGCGGGGACCGAACTGTCGGCATCAAGCAGACTGTGCGCGCACTCAGCCAGTGGCATCTCCGTCTGCTCTTGACGGCGACATCTATCCACGCACGTGATCGTCACCTACTTTCCTCATCCGGTTCGCCAGCGACGATCAGCCACAACTCCAAGTCAGCAGCGACCGTCACTTGAAAAAGATCGTAGCCGTCGTGCCCAGTTGTCCACACGAGCTCTAACATTTCTGTGCATGCGATCGTGTCGATCGTCTTCAAACTGCAGTGCAACCGTCACGCGAGACTCGATCCGAGGCTTTACGTCCGGACGATTGGACTCAAATCATCGGGAGGCCGACCACGCCGAGAAAAGTAGCTGCGGCAATGTGCTGACCGCGTCGCAATCGCCGTCTGCCGGTTCCGTCAATTGGTGGACATTGAAGGCCCTCTATGCCACACTGCAGCCGAGTGCCGCGTTTTCTTTCGCCACAGACGACGCCACGTGTCGCACGGTGGGCACGAGCTCCACAAACGACGTTACACACACAATGGGCGACACGTTTCGCTCGACCGGTTCGTAGATCGCCCACAAAGTTGGCCCGAGGCGGCGAAAGACACGCCACCCACCGACATTCGACATCCGTCCCTCAGCATCATTAGCGTCAGCGAGTGTCCGCCATCGCCCGACAGTGCAGCGCTTGTTCCGCCCGTGCAATCCGTCCGTTCATCGCTTCTGCGGCCAAAGTCTCTGCTGTCGTCAATTGCAAACAAATGGTCTGCACCGCGAGTTCCGATCAGTTGTGGGTTGCCACGTCGTCGCCGACCACAACGAGTCGCAGCAGTGCGCAAAGCCGACCACGTTCGTCGAGCAGAGACCGATGGGACGAAGTCACTGATGTCAACGACGCACGCGACGAAGAACTGGCCACGGCACTCGACCACGCGAGTCGATTGACTACCGACGTGGTCGTGACCGACGACGACGGTCGTTGCCTCGCGAGTTCCAGACGCTGTCACGTTGCGGCAGGAGCAGACTGTGCGACGAGCGAAGACGATGTTCGTCACTGTAGCACCGATCCGGAAGCGGAACACGCTGGAGACGCTACTGCACGAGAGCAGCGGGTGGAGGACCAACTCGCGCGGGTGCTGGTGGACCTTGCAAGTGAGCAACGCAACGTCTGCTTGGCTGCAAATGCAGGCAACGCACTGCTGGCGGAACTCGATGCTGCACGGAACGAGCTCGACAGTGCGCAGGACGTCTTGGAGACTGTGCAGCTGGAGCGGGACGAAGCGGTGCGAGAGACGCAGCGGCTCTACGACCGGACCGTTGCTCTGGAGACGGCCTTGCAGCGCTACAACCACGAGTCGTGGAGCACGACGGGATTACAGACAACACTCAGCCATGAGCAGCAGCAGCAGCAGATACTGTTACTTACCTCGTGCAGAGGCGTAGACCCAACCGACGCGTGCGAACAGTGCGCGACTCGAGGGGTCCGTATGCTGCAACTTGAACAGCGTCTTGACGCGGTCAATCGGCGGTGTTTGCAGTCGGAACTTGTTTGTGAACGGGAGCAGCTCCGCCGACATGAGCTGGAGCAGGAGAGTGCCCAATTGCAACAGCAGACCGACGAACAGCGTCTCGAGATCCTACGCGCACGGAAAGAGTGTGAGCTCTTGACAGCGCAGTCCGAACAGCAAACACAGGAGCTTGACAGTGCGCGAGCGGGACGAGACACGTTGCGTCGCACCGTGCGACGATTGGAAGGCGAAACCAATGAGCTCCGAGCGCGCGTGTCGGCTTGTGACGAGTGCATTCAGAAGCTTGAGGCGTGCAAAGCTCGCGCAACGACTCAGCTGCAGGTAGCAGAGAACTGCACAGCAAGCGCGCGCGTCGAGGCAGGGCGTGCTACAAAGACGCTGGAGCACTTCCAAAAGCAGTTCATGCAGGTACTTGAGCAGCAGCAGCGCGAACGGGAAAGCAGCACCGGATGGGGTCGCAGCTACGATGCCGACGTGGACTTGTGCGAGAGCAAAGTCATGGAGCAGCTCTTGCAGGACGCCACGCGGGAGGTTGCAGCTCTGCGTCTGGAAAATCGGGTCCTTCGTCAACGACACTCGTCACGAAGCAGATCAGACGAGAGGCAGGTGCGAGACCAGAGACGCAAGTTGTTGGGCTCGGACAACAGGGACAGCTCCATCACGACTGCTGCGTGTGTGCTGGCACTTGACAGCCACGATCGTGAGCATGGCGACCCGGCGAAGAGCAAACGTGACAGTCGCACAGAGCCACATGTGTCGTCAGACTTGCAGCGATCGTCACTCGAGCGTGATACGAGCGGCTCAATTGTAGCACCCGCCAACAGGTTACCATCAGACGAGGAGCTCCGACGGAAGATGTCTTGGACAATCGACTGGGTCGACAACACACCCTCGGTACGCGACGATGCTGCAGCGAAGAACGACGAAAACCGTGCAGCGTTGCACGCTCACAAACAAGCAGGTCCAACACCGCGCGCCGTCGAGCCAAAGCCCGAGCATTGCGATGTGGTGCGTCACGAGAAGCAGCTCGAGATCGAACGGGACACAGACTCGGAGCTTTCCACCAGCACGACGTCGTCACAAGTGAAAAGACCCGTCAAGCTCTCGACTCGCTGTCGAGTCACTGACCACGGCAGCACCTTCGACGCGTATGACCGCAAAATTGAGGAAGCTGGTCGTCTATCGATCGCTGGCGAGAATGTGTACACGCGAGTTCGTAGACTGTCCGTCGAGGAGTTAAGAGGGGCGGGACTGGAGTCTCCACCCAGTTCTCCACTGTACTTTGGTCTGTCGTTCATCGCGTGCGCCACCGCAGCTACAGCTGCCAGTCTTCTCGCTCGACGGTGAGCGACGAACCTACAACGTGATAGTCCTCACCAGTTTGCATGAGCAAAGCGGCCACGTATCGCATCGGTTGAATCCACGTTGGTCCTAACAACGGCGTTTGTTGCCACTGGCACGGCCGCGATTCGCATTGGGGCCACCACATCCTTTTCCATCTCGAGGCACACTGGGAGGACGCGCTTTGCTGCAAGTATCACTGACACAGACAGCGCCACCATTTGTCGCGCGACTCGAGCTTGTCGAGCTCTTCTTTGACCGTTTCTGACGGGCACTTGGCATCGTAACTATCATCTGCACTTTGCGACCAGAACATGCAGTCGATTGACGCGCGTTCTGAAGACGGCTGCATATTGGTCGTCGCTTTTGCTCCTGCTTTCCGACGATAGTCTCCTCGTGCGCACCAGCATCGTCATCTACATCAACGTACTCGTCACAGTCATCGTCATACTCATCTTCATGGCTTCCAGGGGGCTGTAGACGGACGACTGTCAGCTCTGTTGGACACCGAGGCCGAGGCACGTCGCACAACATCCGTTCGTCATGGCCATACTCATTGTAATCGTATCCAACGCGAGCGTGGTCATCCCGAGGGGCCTCGCAGGGGCAAATAACGACTGGCCGTTGACGCATTGGCTGGTGCAGATGCGCTCTGCACATCATGTCATCGTCATACGTGTACAGCTCGCCTTTGGCATTTACGTAGACACGTTGAGGATGGCGAATCGGCTGCTGACGAGCATGCGTTTCTTGCACAGGAAGTGAAAAGGGAGCCGCGTTGGTCTCGTCACCATCGCCATTTTCTTCGCGCACGTCACCGACGTAACACGGCTCCTCTTTACTCACGCACTCTTCCTTCACTTCGTCATGATCGCAGCTCTTTTCTTCACCTCCTTGTACACGCTTTCGCTTTCGGCGTGGACCCCCTACCCGTTTCGACGAGATGGCATCTCCTGCCATGAACTGCAGCACGAGACGTTGCGCGCGAAGCACGCAGGTCATGTCGCCAGTGAATACGCAGACCCGATTACCGTCTCCATTACGGGCGGCCAAGAAGTGCGTGTGCGCCCCCGACTTCTCGGAAATCTCACGAATAAGCTTGCCTCGGTCGGCTAGCATAAACCCGCAAAGTCTAGACGGCAGGAGGACCTTGATGGTGACCCTGTCGCCCTTGGCGCCAGTCGAACCGATGCTCCATGCTTGTGGACTCGTCGAAGTGGCCAAATAGTCGCGTAACTTGGCACTAATGACCCGCCGGGCGTGCTCGATCTGTTTCGGAGTGCCTTGGATATGGAGAATGCGATTGATACTACCCAAAGGCAGATCCTCTGTGGAAGGAGCTTGCAAGCGTGCACCCGTGCGCTCAGTCACGCTTTTGATCGTAGAGCCCTGCGGACCAATGAGACAACCGGCCGAATGGTACGGAATGGCAAAATACCGTCCCCGTCGATTGTTTGTCGCACTTGCAGCCACTTCAGCCCGCCCGCCCGACCGGCTTCGAATCTTCTCTACTGCTGCAGCAATCGACTGCACCGGTCCACTCAGGACTACTCGCCTCTCAGTCGTGCCAGGTACGACATTGTCTTCGATACGGATGGACGCGCCAGTGTCCCGACGAATCGATTGCAAGACACTTCCTTGCTTCCCCATCATCTTACCAACGTCTTCGCGCTGTACCATCCAGACAAACGGATTCGTGAGCTTCACCTCGTCCTTCTTCTTCTTCTTCGAGGCAACTGCAACGTCCATGGCTCTCGTGCTCGAGGTCACTGCTACGAGCGGCACACCCGCGTGTCCGTGCACTAGATCAGTGTAGTTTGGATCGCCCTTCTTCGCTCGAAACGCGCGAATGTACGCAACGACCAGACGCTGCGCTAAGCTGATGCACTTGGCTGTCCCTTGAATGCACAGCAGACGATCGTCTTTGTATGGCAGTGCATCGGCGTTCCGGATAAACAGAGTGCACTCTGCTTGTTGCCCAATGTTCTGAATTGGTTGGCCACGACGCGCCAGCAGTGCTGCAGTAGCGTTCGACGGGATCAGAAGGTGCACTGTGTGCTGAAACTCGCCATGCAGCTCGCCGTCGTCGTACTCGTCTGACGTGAGACACGACAGGGATGCCAGCAAGTCTGGTGCCTCGTCTGTTGAGCCTGTCGGTGGCTGAAGTAACGCAACTGGAACTTGTGGGAGCGGCTCCCAATGCTTTCCAGAGGAACTGTTTCCATGTTGAAGTTCCAATGGAACGTCATGTGCCCGAACGACGTCAAGTGGCACGTGGTGTGGCTCCAGGTGTTGCAGCAGGCTGTGATCACGCGTGCTGCTACTTAAGTCGGTATCGTAGGTTCCACATATAAAACCGAAAGCAGCCATTTCCGTCGGGTCAAATGCAGGAGCCGACGCCTCCAATGGCAGGTCATGGCTCGGGCCACAAAAAGTACTGATTTTAGGTACACTCGTCAACCCAGGCGCTGGATCGACGGTTGGCTCGGGTTTGATCGCCACGCGCGGGACTTCACGTGCCGCTGGCGGTTGTTCGATCCACGCGACGTGGTCCGTCGTGTTCCACCGGAGACCACTGGACACGTGGCCGTGATGCATCGCTGGTGTCGTGTCGTCATTGACGTCGTAGCTCGCGAGCGCTTCACGTGGTCGCTGCATGACTGGAGGAGAGAGCGCGTACTGCAGATCCAGCGAGAGCAGGCTGTTTGGGAGGTTTGTGCAGTCGAACCGCATTGGTGTGGACTATCTGCTTGTTGATGTGGCAGACGTCATATCTCGTCGCATGTTTGACTGGACGTTCTGCTTTTTATAAGCTGACGGCTCGAGGTCGCTAAGAAAAACCTCGATTGTGCGAGCCGCCACTGCGAGCCGCCACTCGTTGCAAGAGCAAACACTGCATGGACAAAACGCGAATCGAAACGCGTTTTTGTGCACGGCAGCGATCGTTTGTATAAAAAGCAGACTGCCTCAGCCATTCGACACAAAACAGGCATTCTGGCGCGACGGGCTTCTGATTGGCTGGAATACCCCACCTGCGCCAAAACCAGACCGTCGCCATGCGACATGGCAACGCTCAGCAAACCAGCCAGCAGATGGCCAGCCAGTCATACGACGTAGCGTATCCTCTATTGTCCATCATCGATTGGCTGAAATCAAGCACCCGCGCCATCTCTCTTCCAACCAATCACGTGCGCTCTCAAACCACCTTGCCCCACGATACCGGTAAACGCGCCCGTCCCACCACTTCGGTACGATGTCGACAACACAGCGCTGGCCCAATGTCAAACTTGACAAAGTTCGCAACAATTGCGGCCGGCGGCCACTTTCGTAGCTGCTCGACCCGCCCGCCCGCTCCCTCACTGCCTGCAGCTCCTCTCGATCCACTCACTGCCTGTCCACGTCGCGTCATGCAGCGACTCAGGCGCTGGTCGCTCGCCGCTGTCTCTGGTCGTGCGAAGCCGCTGCGTCGCGTGTTTGCCACCGCTTCCCCCACGTGCGACGACGAGAGAGCAGACGCGCGGGACGGACCGTTGACGACTTGTGGTGGGGCACACACACAATGGACTGCGCGGCCGTCGGCGCACGTGTACTACCACTGCAGCAGTCACCACGAGACCGCTACGACGGACGGGGAAAAATGGGACGTCGACGCTGTAGGCGGAAGCGGTTCGCAGCCACAGGAGCCACTGGACGACGAGCACGAAGAGCTGCCGGTGAAGGACACGCAGTCGCTGTCTCGGGCGTTCGAGAAGCCTCAGATGGACGCGAGTTTCCTTGTGAACAATTACACGGCACCGGCGCTTGCAGCAGCGTATCAGGACAGGGAGTACACGCTGTGGCTCTGTGCTGAGCTACTGAGTGACGGCAAATTGGACCAACTGGAGGCAGTGCTGAAACCGTATCACGGTACGGCGCGATGTTGACGATGTCAATTGTCTGCTTTGCGGGCCGTTGCTGTGTAATTGGTGCTGCAAAGTGCGGAACGGAGTTTATCTCATTTTGTGGCTTGTTGGCTTGTTGCTGTGGCTGTCTTTTGTTGTGCTGCAGACTTTGCTCAGCATGAATCAAAGACCCAGCGACAGACGCCACTTGCAAAAGCGTTTGGGCCACGCCATCTTGAGCGCATTCGCAAACGGCTGAGTCGACTGCCACGTCAGATCACGAAGGCGTACTCTGCACGAGCAGCTGTGGTGATCCCGCTCTGTACGTTCGAAGGTGAACCGTCCGTGCTCTTTACGCTGCGCTCACTCACTGTTGGAAAGCACAAGGGTGAGGTCTGCTTTCCAGGAGGAATGGTGGACGCCAATGATTCGTGTATCGAAGGGACGTGTCTTCGCGAGATGAAGGAGGAAGTCGGTCTTGCGCCCGAAAGCGTCGATATCCTTGGGGTCCTTCGCTGCGACTGGTCCAGTGTCACTTCGATTACAGGCATTGCTGTTACACCGATCGTAGGCTTTATCGGCGAGATGAGTGATCAGACGGTGGCAATCAACGAAGACGAAGTTGAGTCGCTGTTCACCGTGCCACTGCGGGACCTAATGAACCAGGACAATTGGACTCGCCACAGCAACGCGACGCCCGTCTTCACGGGCGGTCCGCACGTCATCTGGGGGTTGACAGCCTACCTTCTTGATATTTGCTTATTTGAAGCTCTGCAAGTCAGCGACAAGTCGCCTGCGGCACCACGGAATTGACCAGCACATGCACTATCGAGAAACGACTGGCATCGAGACGCGTACGGCAGTGTGAGCGCCACGCACCGTCGCAGCACTTTGCAAGGCATCAGCTTGGTACGATCTCGGTCGCTTTTGCCCAGCAACTGCAGCAGCTACATGAGGCAAGGCAATAGCGGAATTGACTTGTCGTCGCAACCATCATGACGAGGAGCTCAGCTCCGCTTGACGGACTTCTCCCGTGGTCCGTGTCCAGCCCACGACACAAGTTGTTGAACGTGATCTTCGCTGCTTTCGCGAGGTGTTTACGAGTGTCATGATCGATCTTTCAAGCCCCTCAGCGTGGCTATTGCAGCACGTACAGCATCAGACAAGGACGCGACAACATGGAAGCACTCGCTTGTTGTATCGTCTGCTTTTGCACAAGATCGACGTCCCGTCACTTGGTGCTTTCGACGGATATTGACTGACTCGAGGATCTGGCTGGCTGTAGCCATCGTCAACTTGTCGGTATTGCGATTGCCACGAAAAGCTGACGACATCAAAGTTGGTGATTGCTGGTGAGCCCCGTTTCTGGTATCGCTCGCTTTTGAGCCATTCGTGGTGCATCTATCGTCAGTTTACCATATGTGAATGTGACGAAGTGTCCTGGATATTGGCACGAAGCAATGACCACATTTGACCCTTGAGTTGGTCCTATGCTTGTCCCGCACCGGGACTGATCAGGAGTTGCAGGCTATTGAGCACCAGAACCATCCGTGTTGCCAGCTACCGTGTGTTTTCTGAAGCATTCTTCCCATATTAGATTCATGCAGCTACTTGTTTGATTACATCGCTAAATTGCAGTGCTGTTCGACGTGAGTTTCCTGTACACGACGAGTCTGCTTTGTCTGCATGACAAGGTCCAGTCTACAGGAACGATGTGACGATGCTCATCATGTCGATGTCTTGCTTTTCTCTTATGCATAACTCACACCACCAGGTCGATGATGAAATGTCGACCAAAATGTGGTGCAAAAGTGCGTGTGCTCGTACCAGCCCGATCCAGGATATGGTCAACAGCGCCAAGAAACACACTTGCCGTGCAGCTCGCTTCGTAGCTCCATACGAGGCATTTACAGTAGTATTGTTTGCCTACTATTGCTGGTACTGGCAAAACGCTGCTGTCGGAAGCATCTTCTGGCCAAGAACCTGCCAGATTTTTCTTGCTGTATGCAAGCACCAGAAAGTCAGGAGTAGCAATGCACAGCTTCTGATGGTCGCAAAGGTGTGGTTGCAGATGTGCAAATTTCAAACGTTCAAGTTTCATGTAGCTCACACTGTACCGCATGGAGTCCAAACAGTATGCGTACGTAATGGTTAACGTGTCTGTATACCAAAGGCAGTGGTCGTGTGAGGACAAGTACATCTGTCTTCCGTCCGGCATCTGCGTTTCGTGTGATCAATGAGAGTCTTTTTCGCGATACACAAAACTCGTTTTGGTTGAGGGGCACGCAGGATCCCACTTGCACTGGTGCAGCATTGCTGTCGACTTACCACGTACGCGATTGTACGTCCATACGTCCATAGAGTTTGGAGGTCTCTGGTACAACTGAGGTGACGCCAAGCGTGGACGCCAGCGATTCGAAAGCAAAGTTGATGGCGCCACTGATCGACTCGTTGTACTTAGTTTCTTACATCGTAGAAACGAACGACAGCCCAAATGCTGGAGACCGTATAGCCACGACACGGATGATCAAACACGTTTGCATCATCATGCGTAGTTTTGCAATCGACAACAACTTTACGATGTACCACAAGGTCAGTCATTCGCAACGGGGGACGACTCGAGAGTGTCGCGTACGGTACGGCGAGCGGATTTCCCCCCGGGAAAAAAAGTCGCTTTTCTTTCGAGTGCGGTGCGTGCCCTATTTGAAATCGCGAGCAGGTTACGTGCGAGCTTTGACGTTGAATAGAGGAACTGACGATGGCCAATAGAGTGATCAAGCAATAAGGTGTGTGGAAAGTGGCTGGCGACGGACGACAATCTGCACTGATTGATAGGTCAACTGTGGTAATCATTTGATTACGGTGGGCAGACAGCATTGGCACTATTGGACAACGTCATCAACGCAAACGTCATGAGGAGACTTGACGCTTTGGTATATCGGATACGGTTCAGCTGTACGATGTGGCTGCAAAACGTTATGATACACATATTGACAACACGTTCCGTTGCATTGTTGTCATGGAACGTATCGACAGTGTGTGTGTGTGTGTGTCTCCGAATGTCAGAGCCACAGTGTCAAACGTATCAGTGGTCGCGCAGGTTCTTCCGTGTTCAGTATCCGAAGCGTTCTGATCTCTTAGTTTGCACGAGATGGCGGGGCGCTTTTTGCACAACGAAAGCCGACCATAGGAGACCGGTCGTAGCCTTCGCTGACCATGAGAAAGCGGTTGTGGTGCTGGGCATCGAGAGACTGTGGAAAGTACCAATTCGGGTCGCCATGTGTAGCTGCTATCGGGTAGTAGCTACTTCCTCCGCGCAGGAGAAGTCCACACGTGTGCGCGTCACAAAAGCGGTCGGTCATCTGCCACACGTACCCAACGAGATCTTCGACGAGGAACTTTGTCGAGCGCGAGGCCACACGCGAACCCACGGGACTAAGTGTCGGCAATTCCTTTCCATGAAACACCTGTGGCACTTTGGTGCTGTTCCAGTTGGATCCCCACGGGTAAGTGTCATAGTTCTCTCCATTGGACGCAACGTACTGCCACTCCCAATCATGCGGAAGCCGCTTACCGTAGAACTTTGCAAACGCTTCAGCATCCTCGACGGCAACGTATACAACAGGACTTTGTGCCAGTGCCGGTGGAATACGCCATGACACTAACGGGCCTTGTCGGTTTTCCCAGTGCAACAAGAAGCGCTCCATGGACTTGGGACGATAGCCACTTGACGTGAGGAATGTCTGGAACTGAGCGTTGGTCACAGGGTGGACGTCGAGAAGAAAGTCTTGAATGACCAGTCGAGTCGAGTGGTTGTTCCACGGACGGTGTTCCCATGGAAACTGCACCCCCGAGCCAAACTGAGTCGAGTCGGGCGTCCACGCCTCAACGGGTTCAATCTGCACGCCACTGACGTTGAACCACCAGCTGTCCATCCCCGACACACGCACCATCCCATCAACATCCAGCGGTTCAGTTTCTGCGGCTTCATGGCCACTGCGAATGAGCTGCTGTTGCAGCAAAGTGCGCGTCGTCGAGTACTCCGAAAGGGCTTTGGCGGTCATCGCTCGCATCTCGCGACAAAACTGATGCATGTCGTTGTCGTTGGCCTTTGTCACGTAAATCGCACCAAACGCTCGAGGCTCGAGCGTCACCGTCACGACCAATCCGTTCCCTACGCTACTGCTGTTGCCAATCTGCTTCTTTTGCAGTTCTTCTCCGTGGTAGACGTCATACACGTGGACATCATCTGCCGTCTGTGCGCTCGTGAGTGCCAAGTCGAACGTCATGTCGCTTTGCACCGTACTGATTACTGTGTAAAGTGCTTCTCCGCTCGCTTCGACCGTAAACGCACTTGCAAACAATCCGTCGTCTTGCAGTCCGTAGTAAGGAGTCCACGCGCCAGTCGAAACGAGGTGTCCAAACTTGCGCAAGATCGCAAACATCCGCTTGACCGTTGCATCTTCTCGTTCCGTCATAGCGTTCCAGATGCCCCACACATTTTCCCACACGACGTACCCGGCCCCGTTGAAGAAAGCAGTCAGCAATTCCGTAGTCCTATCGAGCGACCATCGAGCACAGAGTTGCACCAGGTGTCGCGAGTCGAGGAACTTGGCCCGAGCGACTGGCGGAAAGTGTTCGTAGCCGCCAAAGTATCCCCAACTCATGGGGTTGTGGCTCAGATAGGCTGTGGGCACCCCGCCTTCAGGCGTTGCAATGAGTGGGTTACTGCAGTTGAAAAAGGATCTTGGAACGCCGTACATGGTATCCCCATTGAACCCGTCCGCCTGAAGCGCCGATACAATCGCCTCAAGGGCAATAATGTCGGCCGTGTACATCCGCACCGTCCCTTCAAGTCCTGCTTCGTCTCGCGTGCCAATGTCCCATGGATTGTAGGGAAGAATGACGCGAATGCCACGACGGTGAAAGTCAGCAACAACGCGTTTCACGCCGTCGAGTCCATTGGGCAGGTCCCGTAAGAGATCAAATTGGTTGCGGTTGTCGATCCCAATGTTCGGGTAGGCGGGCCAGATCACGACACTGTCGAGCGTGCCCACACGTTGCTCCATCTCGTTGACGTACTTGTCGACGGTGTATTGCTGCGTTGCCCGGTCGTAAATCGCTCGATCGCTCATCATGAGAAACGTTTGCACGAAATTCGTCTGCGTCCACTGCGTTTCGCGCAGGTTGTACACGTTGCACCTGTCGTTGAAATCATATCGATTGCTCTCGAGCTCCATCGTTTTCCACACGGTCCAGTCGTGACGCCACGTTGGCAATGCACTGGCGTTGCTCGGGCCGTCAATCACTTCGTAGCCATCGGGTTGTGGATCCCAGGAATGCATCTGGTTGAAGAGGCAACAGACTACAAAGATGCAGTCGAAAAGAACGCTCGACCGACGCATCTGAGCCAAAGACTTTAGTGACGACGATAAGTGCTCGAGCGATACTGAGACGTTTCAACAGTGACGATGAAAAAGGCGGTACTACGATGAGCGCTGCTGGATATTGTCAGACGCAGCGCTTGACGCGACCAGACGTGACCTGATCCGCAGACCAGAACGGTTCCATATTATTGTTTGGCTTGTCGGTCTTTGTGTGGCACTCACTAGTCATTGTGAAGAAGGAAATAGGCGATACGATATGATCTCGGGATAGCTGTTTGACCTTCTCGACGGTACAGTAGCAACACTTTTGTGCTTCTTCTTCTTCTTCTTTGTCGTGTTCAAAGGACTGATCGCATCGATATGGATCACTATGGTCGCTAATGTGCCGTCACTGGCTTTTTCACAGTCGTCTTGCGAACGTAGCAGGTGTCTTCTGTGGACCTGCGCGGCTGGTGGCAAAGAGGCAGCACGGAATCAGATAAACGCGATGTCGACTTGGTCGTCGTTCGATTGGCGAACGCACACCTTCGTCGATGGTATGGATGAAAGTGAGTGAGTCGAAGGCAGGACGCTGCAGGACGAGACGTGCATGTCTCTGGCTGTTCGATTGTGCGGCACTTGAGATCGATAGAGCAAAGATAGCTGAGCGCTGAGCACAGTGGATGCCACGTGGGCATTTCGTTCGCGACGGACTAAGCAAAAGCGCCACTACCGCAGAACATGGAGATGCTGCGTAGCCACATGTACTGCGCGCGTCGAAGCGTTTACGTATCCGGGACACGCGGGTAGTTACAACAGTCAATGATACGTGGTTTTGAACACCATGAGAAGCTCAAAGCGCCAAGGCGTACGTACGTACGTACGTGTACATGGCTCCTCATACGAGCCAACGATTGTGCACGAAAGCACAGACGCAAGCTGCTATATGGTGAGGAAACGCATGACTGCATGATCATTACTGAGCCTCAATGTGGCTTTACATACTATGAGATCCACCTGTCTAGCGCTAGCCCACAAGCGCTGTCGATGGTATCGTTTCGTTGCCACGGACCAATTCTCGCCGCTAATCGAACTACCGACCCACTCACACCCTCGATGACGGTCGACACATCGCTCTTGGCCGAGTAAACTCAGACTCGTGCTTGTGTGTTGGCAGTTTAGCTCCACTCTTTGCACAGTGTGGCCACTTACAGTAGTAAGCTGCAGCAACAAGTCGTCGTATGTCCGAGTCTGCTTCTTCGTCACCTGGACGACCTTTCGACTACAACGTTGTAGCTTCTGCTGCAACGTGTGTGCTACTTCACGACAAACGGGACTCCCACGACATGGCTACGAGGTCCACCAGCAAGAGGATAGTAATCGACAGATTTTTTGTTGTTGTTGTTGTTCAGATGGTCTATTTGCACGGTGTTAACTATGCGCCTTAACCTCTGCAGTTTGCTAAGCCTGAAGTGAGCGTCGGGAGACCCGGAGGCTTATCGTGGCTGGTCCCTATAAGAGAGACTCTCCGAGGAGCTCACCCATCTGCGATGGTGGCCCCCTTCAGCCGCTTGCGCGGCCCGTCGACGTGGAGTGCGATCACCGAAGTGACTGCTGGCGTGAAACGCCAACCCGCCGTATCTCTCTCCGAGGAGCTCACCCATCTGCGATGGTGGCCCCCTTCAGCCGCTTGCGCGGCCCCCCGACGTGGAGTGATCACCGAAGTGACTGCGTGGCGTGGAGAACGCCAACCGCCGTATCTCTCTCGAGGAGCTCACCCATCTGCGATGGTGGCCCCTTCAGCCGCTTGCGCGGCCCCCCGACGTGGAGTGCGATCACCGAAGTGACTGCGTGGCGTGGAGAACCCAACCCCCGTATCTCTCTCCGAGGAGCTCACCCATCTGCGATGGTGGCCCCCTTCAGCCGCTTGCCGCCCCGACGTGGAGTGCGATCACCGAAGTGACTGCTGCGTGGAGAACCCAACCCCCGTATCTCTCTCCGAGGCTCACCCATCTGCGATGGTGGCCCTGCACCTTACCGGCCCCCGACGTGGGTGTCCTCCCCACGGCACACGTGGCGCGGGGTACGCTTCCAGTCCATAAAACACCCCTGCTTGCCTTACGCGACCCGTCGGTCCCCTACCCCACACCCCACTGCGAGTGCACCCCCCGTCAGATCTTCGACCCCGTCGGCCCCCTAGGGGGATCCTCCGACGTGACTCCCGAAGGGAAAAGCCTGGCTTGAGCTGAACCGTGAAAATTTGGGAATGTATAGTAATCGACAGATGTAAACTTGCGCACTCCGCACTTATTTATCGTAGACGCCAAATCGCTTGCGCGTTGTACTAGAGGCGATCAACTCGCCCGAAGCGAAACGCAACAGCGGACAATGGGTCACGTTTTGCCGCAGATTCTAAAACCACATCTTCTTACTATCCTCCCACTCCTATTCTGGTCAACTCGAAGCAACAACCTCGCGTAAGGGCGCTTACTTAAGCGTCACTTCACACCTCTCGCATTGACGATTTGACTCGCGCGTTGATCCACTGGTAGGTGCTCCAAAGGCCACACAGACTGTCAGACTGACCGACTGACACACACACACACACACAAAAAGACAAATAGACCGACAGGTACACCGTCGCAGGAACAATAAAGTCGCACGCACCCAAAGGCTCAGACATTGTCGCCCATCATCGACCGGTCGACGAACGTCAGCCGCACCAAGTTGGACAAAACGAGCGACAGTCTACAGGTACGCGAGTTCCACTCATCCACTCATCAGTCCTCTCATCCACACGTCCACATGTGCATTTAAAAATATGTACATATATTTATGTACATACATAGGTACATACATATCTCGGTATACCTACCCACATAATTAGGTACATACATATCTAGGTACATAGAGATGCATACACACCTGTAGACATACCGAGCGACGCACTGAAAAACCAGATGGACGCAATTCCAGGAGCTCTTTTGTGAAGTCCACCTGGCCGGCCATGTGTCGTTTCAAGCTCTCCCTCCTGCTTTGTTTTTCCAAGAGCTCCCGAATCCATTTGGCAGCACTCGCTTGCCAGTCGCTAGAGCGCTGCACAAACAGGACAAGATGGCTACATTGTTTACTAACCCATTTCGTGCTGCATCCACATCATATTCATGCTAGAGACAATCGGGCGCGTCGGCTGCTTTGTTGCTCTCGTGCAACGCGCAAAGCAGGAGGTTTTCTTTCGTACCCATCTGATTGACGGCTGACAAGAGGCAAGCGGTGGCGGGATCATCATGGGCATGGCATGCGACGTCGAGGGCCGTGCCGTGACGGGCGGCCACGAGGTATTGCTACCGAAAACAAACCATCTCCGGCGAAACGTCCAGTCCAATGCGACAACGACAGAAGCAGAGACGTCGGGTCTGAATCCAGAGGAGACAGCAATGATCCTCACGAGTTTAAGCAAAGGCTTCTCACCTGTGCAGACAACGACACGTTATTCGGTCATGGAGGCAGTCGACGATATGGCCGAGTTATCCAATGACGACGACGACGAACAAGAAGCGTCACAACACCATTGTCCATTTCTCGCCGCAGGTGCTACCGCGAGTAAGATGCAACGCGTGCAGCAGATCAATTTCGACGGTCCGCGAGGCAGCAAGCTGGACTTTACCGATGACGCTGGCTTTAGTCATCGCTTTCGAAACGAGAGCAATCGCGTCAAGAGTTTGGTGACCAAACACATTTCTATTGATGAGCTGCGGGTGCACTTTGACCGCCCGATTATCGACGTCGCCAAGGACTTTGGCATCTGCATTACGCTCATGAAGAAAATCTGTCGTCGAAACGGTATCAAGCGGTGGCCACACCGTCAAATCCGGTCGCTGTCGAAAAGCATTGCGTCCATGGAGGCTGCGATGCTGAGTGCGCATGGCAATGAGCGCGATAAGTACCGCGACCAGATCATCAACTTAAAAATGAAGCGCGAGGCGGTGATCGCAGAACCGAACAAGGACAACTCTATTCGGCCCAAGACGTGCTCACCACCCTTGATCAATAGTGTTTCCATCGACCAGACAATACGTGCTCGCCAACTTCCGCTGAGCATCCACGTATCTCCACGACCCGTGTATGCCACTCATGCTTCGCCGCAGACGAGCAGTGCTCCCGTCACACCAACTGTCAAGATGGAAAAGCTGATGGTGGGTCTTCCAGGTCCAACTCCACCGTCGAGCACATTCACCACTGGTCCCTCGAAAGGAGGACGCTGGACGAGCGACGAGCACGCTGCTTTTCTCGAAGGCATTCGCTTGTACGGGAAAGACTGGCGACGCGTAGCTCAAGTGGTCAGGACACGCAGTGCAGTGCAAACGCGCACGCACGCCCAGAAGTATCTGTTGAAGTTTGCTGGGCGTTTTCCCTTTGACACGGATAGTATGCTGAAGCGTCAGCCGCCGCCACCGGTACCGTCGCAGCCTATGCCCTGTGCACCGGAAACTGTCAACAAGCTGGGCACACCCACATTGAGTCCAACGTCGGAACTGGGATCAAGTGACGCTGCTGCAGCGACGCCTTCAAGTGACAAAAACTTGACTTCTGGATCGTGGAACTCGTTCGAGAACGACCCTCAAGAATCAGTGCAGCACTCCGAACGTCCATATGTGACTTTGGACAGCAGCCGGTTGCAACTCGAGTCAGAGGTCGTGTCTCTCGAACGAGAAAACGTCCGCGCGCCTGTGCTTCCGCCTCTGTCGTCCCACACGACGTTCGAAGCGGAACGAACAGCATCTGCTGCGTTCCAGCCCCACTCACATCCACTAGAAGCAGCGCCAGCCCCGTTCCAGTACCTGCGCTGCAACAACAGCAGAGTGCCCTAAGAAATGGCGGCACCTGCTACAATTTTGCTCGCGCGTGGCGGTTTGACACACAAGTGCACAGTCAGTCACTTGTCACGATCGCCGCAGCAGCTGACTGCGCTTGTCGCCAATCCAGTGTCACGATGTCGACGGCCACTGATCAGAGAGCACAGTGAGAAAACATAGAGACAAACTCCCGTCGTACAACTTCCATGTCCATCATCACCACGTCAGCGTCTGCGGCCAAACTATAGACCAAAACAAAGCACCACACGCACACACCCGCAGAAAAAAAAGGCAACAACAACAACGCTATCGAAAAAGCAAAATAAAAAACATCATCTTTTTTTCGAAAATAATGTTGCTCTGGCCAGTGTCGTCGAATGTCGTCCGAAGGACCGGTCGTGGTCGTACGTAGTCGAACGCGCCCGCCACACCACGTGCACACCACCGACCACGACGACCCGTCCCCTCTCCCCCCGCTACAAGCGCCCGCCCCTGCCGCCGCCTCACTGCTGCTTCGCTTCGACTTCCTTCACCAGCTGCGCCAGCTCCTCGGGATTGTACAGCAGAAAGTACTTTTCAATCTGCGGCAAGTAGTGCACCTTGCCCTTGACCATGTTGAACCAGTACAGGTACGAGGCGTCGTTGTGCGACACGCCCACCGTCCGCACGTCGTAGAACGACGGCACCAGAATCGGGTCGTCCTTCGAGTTGCCCTGCGCCTCGTCGCTCTCGAGCGGGTCGCGGTTGAACTGCGTCACGCCCATCGTCGCGGCCTCGAGCTCCTGTCGCTCACGGCCGACGGCGTGCTCCATGTCGTCGGGGATGCCGCCAGAGGAGGCGGCGGCGAACGCGCGTCGCGTCGCGCAGCGGACGGGCGACAAGCGGAGCGGCGCGAGGGCGCGGGGACCGAGCATCATGCTAAGTACGATTTCCGACACGGAGAAAGCAAAACTGATGGCCGAGCGGCCGGTGGAAAAACGAGCGCGATGTTCATTGGCTCGCAACGAAGACCACGACGGTCGATGAGTGGTGGAAAACAAGGCGTCGAGGCGGGGCACATTCGCGCGACATGCCATCGGTGGAGCACCTGCGACACGCGCGACCCAATGTTTCGCTTCACGGTCGTTACAAGTCGCTCTCATACACAGCGCTACCACTCACTCGTCACAGTCGATCTCAACAACGTCGATACGTTTCTTGCTGTGCTCGTCCAGTGACTTGTTCGCGTCCGCACGATCGGTCGGTAACGGACTCGAAGGCCTTGACAGTCTTGCAGTTGCTGCAGTTGCAGTTGTTGTTGGGGCTGATACGGGATTTGACACCTTCTTGAACCACGAGTCGATTTGTTTCGGCGCTTTGGCCGGTGACGGCGATTGTGCACACGTCGTGGTGGGTGTCGATCTGGCTGCAGCCAACGTCTTGTTTGCATTGACTTTCTGCGACAGAAGCTGCTGTGAAATAGCTTCTGGCTGCTTTGTCTCCACTGCAGCTGTTAGCTTCTCTGGAGTAGCCTGAGCTGTCCCTGTCTGCTTCCCTTGGTCTTCCTTGTCGTGTGCTCTCAGCTTTTCCTGCTCCTGCCGCTCGACTTCTTGCTGCTGCCGTTGCTGCTCTTGACGCCTCTGCTCTTCTTCATACTCACGAGCTTTTTGCATCAAACTGGATTCGAACAGAGGCTCGCTCAACAGCTCACCCGCGAGCTCGGGAAAATGGCTCGACGGACAGTTGTCACCCCCGTGGACATACCAGAAGGGGCCGATAATCTGGGGCTCCAGCTTGGCCGACTTGACTGCTCTGCGCTTCTTCTCGAGCTGCGATGGCAGCTTGCGCTTTGTCGGTGACGCTGGTGCTTCACCGCTTATTCGGTCACCTTCTTTGTCCGCATCGTCCATATAATCCACTTCATCCTCATACGCTAGCCACTGGTCGTTGTAGTCCAGCGTATCTTCGTCAGACTCATCGCCGTCGTTTTCATCGTCCGACAGGCTCTCACCTGGCTCTTCTTCCTCCCACTCATCATCGCTGTCGACAGTGTAGTCGAACTTGGAGTACTGTGTAAACGGACGGCGGCCACCGCGGAAGAGGCGGCTACGAGTGCTGAAAGTGCCGTAATACGCTGGCCGGTTGTTCTCATGAAATTGCAGCAACTTCATCACGCCAAAGTTTGGGTCGCGGTGGCGCCGAGAACTCCAACTAGATGACGAAGTCAGATCTGCTGCAGTGCCTGTTGTACCCCGTCTACCTTTCAGTAACGAGACACTGGTCTGGACTGACGTGCTTGGTGTATCAACGAGTGACGTGTCTCCCGCGGAGCCCAAGAAGCCAATAGCTGCGTCCATGCGAGCAATCTTGGTGCTCTTGCTTTCTGCCGGATGGACAGTAGTCTTCGCATCGTGGTCACATGTCGTGTCCGTCACGACAGAGTCACAAGTTCCAGTACTGTTTGCTGCATCCGTCGCGAAAAAGGACTTGAACTTCTTTTGCGCCTTGGATGACCCCATCTCCTTCTCCTCCACTTCACGATCGCGCTTTCGCTTTTCCTCATCCTTTGCTTCCTGGCGCTCCAACAGACGGCGCTTTTCAAGCTGCTTCTTCTCCTCGGCAGCAGCGAGTTTCTCCAACACTTTCATCTCTTTATCCTTCGCCTTTTGTAGCTCAGCAGCCACTACGAATCCAAACTTCCCAACCTTTGCTTCTTCAGCACTCACTTTTGCCTCATCTACAGGCTTCTGATGCAAGAGTTGAACGACCTTGGCTAGCGTTTTCAGCTGCTGACCAAAACGCTTGCGATGCTTACGCATGCGCTTCACGGTCTTCTGTGCTTCATCGCCAAAGTACATCTCTGGACTGCCTACCTCCCACACCCACAGTGCATCGACGGTAGTGTCTTCGAACACATTTGCCTTCGCAGGACGCACCCCATGCGGAATGCGTTGCGCTAGCGTTTTGATCTCCATCTCCATCGCTAATGATGCCGCACGGTCTACTGTGCAACCGTCAATCACGCTCTTCTTTACTGTCTTCTCTACGTCACGATTTGCCACTTCAATGTCTTTCTTAAACGCGGCGAGAAGTCCTCGCGACACCACTGACAAGCTTGCAGATCGCCCCTGGATAGCTCTTACGATGAAACACTTTACTTCGTGGGGAAATGGTACTGTAGTGGGCAACACGACTACATCTGTAGTGTCAGGAATAGAGCGCGCATAATCCCGAAGTTTCTGCCACGTCTCTATCAGCGCTCGTTGCACTTTTCCTTCGTCCACGATGACGTCCAGGTCGTAATCTAGTTTAACGCCGTATATATCTTGCATAATCGCATCGCTTTCCAGCTCAGACAGAGAGAGCTCTCTGTACACACTTGTCAGCTCATCAGTCTTCATCTTGTACGTATCCACACGGGCCTGTATGACCGGATCTAAAGGTTCTACTCGAGCAAGCTTTGTCGCTGCAGCAGCTGTAGCCAGTTCTTTCACAGCAACCTGTCGTTTCGTCATAGCCGTGGCAGCTGCTGTAGTGCTTTTCATAGCAGACGACTGAGTCGTCGCTTTCGTCCGTGCCTTCTTGCTTTCATCAGCACTAGTAGCTGCTGGCTCTGCTGCATTCTCTGCAGCTGGCACGACAGTCAAATCAACAACGCCAGACGCAGCGTCTCCGTTTCTCGCTTCAGTCACTTCGATCGTTGCCACACTATCGTCTTCGCCGACATTGACGATCTCTTCGTCATCAACAACGTCGTCGTTCAGAATTAGAGCTCCAGCAGGAACAACCCCAGCGCCCGTCTCCAGTTCAGCTCGAGCTCTCTTGGCTTCTGGCGTGCTAAACACATCGTCCTCGTCGTCCACGTCGTCCTCCTCATCGAAACATCCGTCTTCGCTATCGTGAGCAGTCACGGCATGAGGAGACGTAAAGCGCACGAGCCGCTGCTTCTTCTTCTTCTTCTTTTTCGTCTTCTTACTGGCGTTCAACGCCGTCGTTGTCTTGCCCACTGCTGCAGTTTTGTCCTTATTCGGCTTCGCTTTCGCCTTTGTCGGAGCTTCATCCGGTGCTAGTAGCGCCCGGTTTTCGCTGCCCGTACCCTCCACATTAACCTCCGAATTAGCCTCCGAATTAGCACCAAGCGGCGACGCTCTCGGGCGCTTGGCGCTGACCCTCTTTGGCTCTGGTGCGGCTGCGTTGGTCGCGTCTGGTGCGCGTTCGGTCTTTCGGGGCGAGAAAAAGGCGCTGATAGTGGCCTGTTTGACCCCTTTTTTCGTCTACATCCAGTGAGCACATGAACGTATACAAACAGTCAGTCTAAACCCACCCACCCACACGCACGTCTGCAACTTGTTCCATCGACCCGCGTGTGACGTCGTGACGCGCGCAATGGAAAGCGACGAAAGAGGACAAAGCGAACGGACCTCTGCCATCGCGGCGACGAGTTGATGCGGGGCGGCGCGTAGAGATCCACCCTTAATAGCGACTCGTGAGGACCTCTTTTGGACTTGTGAGGCGCTTTTTGAGAGGCCGACGGCTTTTGTTGAGAGTGTGGAAGATGTGCAGACTCACATCCCCCCGGACGCCATGTCTCCCCCCTGCGAGTGACACTCCACTATACTGCTTTTTTTGGTGCACTATCCTGTGAAGTACAGCTTTGTAGCTACCCAGATCAAGCTCGTCGACAAGGGACGATGAGCCACCGCTTTTTGCGTGCGACACGGCTCAGAAACACAGCACGTTGTTGTCTGCAATTACAGACTTTGTATCGTACAGTACATTTTCGTTGCAACGGAAGAGCTTTTTCCGCAGCTATCATCGACGTCAAATCTTCGCACCCACTCAATGACTGGCTTGGCCATGAGATCGTTAGCCTCATCTTCACCGTCAGCATTGCCGCTGGCTGATCCAGCGCCTTTTGCATGTAGCAATGCAAGCAAGGGCACGATTCCTGCAAAACTTGTCCATGTTGCAGTCAATAGCGTCTCCTCAGTATCCACTCCAGACAACAAATTGCGACAGACTCCTTCGTTCTGCCTCGTCGTTCACACCTTTTTTTCCTCGTGCTTCCATCACTGGTGAGCTTTGATGGTGCAGTAGTGATGTCGACGGCCGAGAGTACCAACTTGCACATTGCATTGGCGAAACACGCGTCTGCTACGACCTGCTCCACGTGTCTTGCTTTTGACGGGCCGCGTCTAGACCGGTGGCCGTTCACTGAGCAGAGGCAAAGCGTTGAGCTACTGTAGCTGCGACCGAGCAGTTTGTGATGAACCTCGGGCGTAACAACAACCTTCTTGACGTACTGCTCGAACCCCTGGCGTGTTGTCGATACTTGACGCTACATCTTCCAATTGGTGCACACTGTTACAAAGGCTTTGATGACGGTTGTCCAGTGACCGGCGGTGGTCCATTATCCACCACCTCTGATGCTGCTGCACAAGTAGCGGCTGGTACAAACGGCGTAGGAGCTGACGCTTCTGCTGCTGCAGATACAGCAGGGTGGACTGGAGTTGAGCGCTCGTACAAATCGCGTAGAAACTGACGCTTGTGCTGCGACGGATACAGCAGGGTGGACTCGAGTTGAGTGCCTGTCGGCAAGTTCGATGCAGTACCCATTTGAACCGCACTAGTAGTGTCGGCGGAAGGAAGCGCATCACCAGTTGATGCGCTCTTACTTTGGACAACAAGTTCGGAGGCCATAGGATTGTCGTTCGCAGCAGCGTTATTGCCAACGCACTGGCTGCTGGTGATTGCCTGCTCCGCTTCTGCCTGCTCTAGTTTAGCTTCAGCCACCTTCTTTGCTTCGAGCGCTTTTTCCCGTTCCAGCTGCTGCAGCCGTGCTTCCTCCTTTATGTAGTGTTCCTCAACCTCATGCATCTGCGCTTCGAATTCCTCCCGCGACACGAAGCCCCGTGAGTACAAGGTTTTCTTCTCGTTGTCACAAAGTTCTTCCGTAATGCGTTTCGTGATCTCGAGGTAAGAATCGTCAACGTCAGCGGTAGCATCTCCAATAAACTCCTTCCATCGTCTCCCCGCACTCTGGACATGCATCTCGTTGACAACGTTGCTGTCTTCGCCGCCTCCTGCTACACTTTCCATTTCAGTCTTCACCTCTGCTATAACTTCGTCATCTTCTTGTTCGTCGTCCTCGTTGTCAGCCATACGCTCGTCTTCGGCATCAGCGTCATCTGGAGAGCGTCGAATTGCCTTCAGATATGCTAAGTACTCACTATTGTGTTTGGCATGTTCTTCATCGAGCTCGCTGTCGTCAATCATCGAGCCAAGCTCGCAATTCCAACAGATACTTTCGTCGCCGTTTTCCTCTGCACATTTCTTATGATAGTATTTCGTGCACGTCGGGCAGCGAACTAGTCTCGACGCAAGTCCCTTCTCCTCGCACAACTCGCACATAACCTTCTCCGGCTGAGTCCGTTTCCGCTCACTTTCCAGCGTCGGAACATACCAGGTTCTTTGTCCTAGCGTATTCACAACATCGCCGGCCAAACGCTGACCCCCTTTTTCGACTACCTCGCTAGTTGACGGACACAGTTGCTGTGCGCCCACACCAAGCTCTCCGACACGCGGAGTTGACAAAGGAGATGTAGTATCGCCGTTTTCTGAGCTGCTTAAATTCGTGAGGTCCACCACATCCAGTAGCTTCAGCTGTAGGCGGCTCGCTTCGTCAGGATCGTCTTCTTCATCATATTCAGCGTTGCCACACTCACGCATGAATTCCAAAAACTCTGGACTGCAGTATCCTAAGACAGGGGGGGCCACTCGAGCCACTTTAGGTGGTGCTGCACTCGCCGTGTGATGACGCTTTCCATCGACCTCTGTGGAAGCGTTTGCTCCAGCAAGTGATGGCTGCTGATGACGTTGCTCATCAGTCGATCGCCAATTTACTTCATGCCGCATTTCTTTTGGTACTAGCACGTTCACGTTGTCAGTCGCTTGGGTCCGTACAGAATATGTCGCTGACGCAGAAGGTGACTTCGTAGCTGTGTCAACAGTTGACCATGGCGTAGCTGACACCGTTACTTCTGCCTGCAATTCCGCTGTCAGCGTTGACTCCAGAGTCGACGATGCAGATGCTGCTGGCTTCGCGCTTCCTTCAGCGAACGATGTGGGAGGCTTCAGTGCTGGTGCTATAGACTGCACAACTGTGCTTGGCGTGGGTATTTTTTGATTTTGTACCGACGGAGAATCAACAGGCCGAACTGCCAATACCTTGGTAAGTTCCTTTACAGCTGACGGTACTGGCTCCGGAGCGGCAGGTGGCAATGCTGCCGCCGTTGCCAACGACACGGACGACTTTGCGACAGGGTGAGGTCGACCTGCACTCGAAGACGCGCTTGACGATTTATCTGATGTGGTGTCGAAATGAGTCGAAGTCAACACCTGCGAAGGTGCACGAGCTGACCTCAACGCCTCAACTGGTTCTGCAGGGGAAGCAATTACCGTCGGTGTGCTAGAAGTGATAGATGCATCTGTAGGCGAGGTGACCTTTGTCGTTTCTACGAGCCCTGTCAAATCATTCGCATGACGACACCCGTCTTCTGTTGCTGTACTTGGTCTCCCTGACGCTGCTATCAACACCGTCGACTTCAGTGGCGGCAAATGACTTCGTCTGGCTGTCGCCCACACTTGTGCTGCAGTCACGAAATCCGTTGCTCGAAATTCAATCTGTTCGAAAACGCGGGACTGGGACAGGGCGTCTTTCAGCTTTCCCTCAGCTCGCACACCTTCTTTTACTTGTGCACGTGCACTACCAACATCAGTCACAAGCTTCTTTTCGCTTTTCTTTGCCGCATCTAGATCGTCGCTTTTCTTCATGACTGTTTCCACTGTCGTCGCCGATTGCTGCTCCTTCTGCTGACTCTTTTGAGCTACAACTGGAACAGGTCTTGAGTCCACACCTGCAACTGGCGGTTTTCTTGGCTCCACTACTGCACTTGACAAAGGCTTCGTCTTCACGGCTACAATTGGCATTAAATGAGGTTCTGGGTCCACAACAGCAATCGGCAGACGTTTCGACTTCACAATCGGCACAGCTTTTGTCTCCCCGGCTGCAACCGGCGGAGGTGTCGACTTCACAATCGGCACAGCTTTTGTCTCCCCGGCTGCAATCGGCGGACGTGTCGGCTCCACACCTGCAACTGCCGGAGGTGTCGGCTTCACCGTTGGCTGAGGTTGCCAATCCACAGCTTGTGCAGACGGTAACGCGCGTGCTGTCGACGTCGCTCGAAGCGCCGGCGCTTGGCAACTTGTCGGCAGTGTGGTAACAACAACGGACTCTTCACGTTGTTGAGCATCTGCCCGTCCTGTCTCTGTTGCTAACTTCCTCAACATCGCTCCGTCTTCGACCGACGGGAAGTGACTGGCCACGAAGACCACTGACGGGAACACGCGACTCTGGAACAGGTCGGCACTGGCGACCGCTGCGCTGTCATTTCCTGCAGTCGTCTCACTGTGCTTTGCACTGTCACTATGCCCGTCACTTGCCACGTCGTCCGAGTCCGAGATCAGGTCAATGACGTCGGTGGGCTGCTGCTGCTGCTGCTTTTTGTAGAAAACACTTTTTACGTGCTGCTGCCGCTTGGGGACTGGCGCTGTCGCAGCCGCCAATCGGATCTCGCTGTACCTTCGCTTGTTGCCCAATGAGCGCACGTGCACGTCACGTGACGGCGCACTGCCACTCGAGGCGCCTGTGAGGTGCAGCACGTTGTGGCTCGACGTCATCATGTTGTGTGTGGGCCGACACTTGTCGCACGCGCTGTGCGTCGAGCTGAAGTTGAGGCAGCCACAGTTGCAGCACGTGACAGTATGCGCCATACAAAATGGGCCCGAGACCAGTGGCACGATGAGCGGTATGGCTGGCGAGTAGATGATTGGCTGAAAATGCGACTGACAAGGGCGGCCCAGTCGCTGTCAGATGGCATAGTTTTTTTGTAGAGATGGCCAGCGCAGGTCAAAGACAGTCAGTCAGATGTGACTTCATAGTGTTAACGATCGACCGTTGCTGTCTCCAACACTGAGCGTGATAAGGTTCACGTAAGGTAAGGGGTCGCCATATGTGTCGTAGTGAACCGGTGACGATGCCCGGTTTGTCGAACTACGCAAGATCCTGAGGGAGAGAGGAAACGATGCGAGTCGATGGTAGTAGTGAACTCGTGAATGTATTCCTCATATCAATTGTCACCAAAGTACGCAAGTGCTATTGCAACCGAAGGCGAAGAGTCGACTGCTGAGTTGGAGATACATTTGGCGCGAGCAACGCAAGAGAGCGGACGCGTATTCAACTTGATAAAATATGGACTCTCGAGCAACAAAGCGCGCGTTGATCACTCACTGTTCGTGCAACGGGGTGAGCCCGTTACATAAAAATTGATATCTTTGTATCAATTTTTGAACCTTATCTATTCAGATAATGTTCAATGGACATTACTCGTAAGGAAAAAGGTTGAAGGAAAATTACCCTCGGGGGTAACATTTCTTTGATGGGTTGCTCCACCTGATGGTTGATGTTCACGGTACATCAACCAGATTGACCACCCATCGCTGCTGGACGCGCGGAATGGGTGGTGAGCAAGAAACCCACGTAGGAGATTGTAGTTTAACATAGTTAGCTCAAGACAAAGATGGTTTATTAAGAAACATAACTAAACTAAATACAGTTCTACTTTTTCCCTTAGACAGAGCTTTCGAGTTCTGCCTTCTTCGCTGCCCTTCCTCACGCCACGTGTACGTGACGTCGGGTGCACACAACCTTGTGTCGAATTGACACAAGGCGTGCCCCGTTACACCTGGTAGCACTTTGTAGTCCGTCCAGCGACCACAACCACCTCATCCGACATGAACATGTTGGATGAGGAGGAGAGCTTTCACGCCACGCGTGAAGGCTTTAACCATTTGAGTGACATCGAATGGAGGGTGGTAGAACGAATGAGTTCTACCGTCGGCGAAACCGCCATTAGCGCCATGTTAGAGTTTCTTAACATAGACCAACAACATGTTGCTACAGCCAGGTTCATTCAAAATGAACTTGTCGCCGTAAGAGATAAAGGATCATTGCTTCATAGCAAGGTTCTCAACAGGCCGAGCAGTTGAGAGAGCTCGTTGCTCAACAGACAGAGCTGTTGAGACAGCGGCAATTCAATGCTACTGTGGGCGGGACGACGCGTATGTGTCGTCCCAAAATCTTGAAGATTGATATCTCAAAGTGAAGGGGAGTCGAGGAAGGTTCCCTTTTCAGACAGTTCGTCGAGTTGGACGATGCCATAAGGGCTCGTCGCATCTTCGTCGACGAATTGAAAGTTGCATTCGCCCAGTCCACCTTGGCTGGACGTGAGAAGGCTTAGGCCTTAGGGATCAATATCCACGATCCATAAACATTTAGATCGTTGAAAATATCCAAATACCGGCTCAGACAAACGTTTAAGCTGCGACGGGACGATCTCGGGCTTGTGCTGAGGTTTTGAAACTCAGACAGGGCAAACAAGATGTACATGCTTACTCTCAGCACATCCGATAACTCTCGAGTTGTATAACTGCCAACCCTCAAGATGAACACACGAAAATCACTGTGTTTATTCATCCAGGGTCTACTTGCTGACCCGTCAAGACCCATCGGTAACATTTGGAATTAAAGACACTAGATCAAGCGATATCAGTGGCGGACCAAGAAGCATTCAGTTTGGAGCGGATCAAACAAATTCGACTACCTATCGATAGCGAGGCGGCAGGAAAGCGGAGGTCCAGAACCAATGGATCTCTGTTATGTTGAGAGCGAGAGACCTCGCTCTTCAAACAACACGAGACTGTAGAAGTATAATCGCTATTAGAAGTTAGAACACTACGCTTATAAGTGTAGCGCCCACGACCAGTACCAAACATTACTGAGCGGAATGAACAACCATTTGCCAAATAGGGTAATGGGAGTAGGTCCAACGCTGTTGCAAAATCGCAGCAGCGAAGCGGACCATCAAAAAATGGTCGGGGTCAGTAGGGGCGGAGCGCCCTACTGATATAGCAACCTCAGATGAATGTGCAAATCTCTTGACGAAAAGTCGCTCCAGAAACACAATCATTGTGTGTCACTGCACCTGTTGATGAGATATCACTCAACACCTTGAAGTTGCAAGTGACAACAGATCTGTCAATTTGTGCTCGTGTTGACTGTGGGGCGTCGAACAACTTTGTTCGACGCCAGTCACTAGAGGGTCGTAGGCTCAAGATCGTCGAGCGTGACATCCCTCTACCGAGGATGAAGGTGCGCCTTGCCACATGTGCATCGATATCCGTTGAGAAACGTGCAGTAGGAATCCACTACACGTTAGAGGGCGAACAGTACGATGATGACTTCGTCCTACTGGATCTGGACGAAAAGTTGATGTCATCCTGGGATTACCTTTTCTCAGAAGGTCTGATCCAAGGGTGAGCTGGCAGCATCGATCCGTGAAGATGCATGCCGCTTATTCATCATCTGGCCATCTGATGAACGCCATGGAGCGTCCACAAGCGTGTGTATGCACTGCGAGTGAGTGCGATGGCCTCACTTGCGGTACGATCGTTAGCACGACTGCACAAGACCTTAGTGTAGCTAATCACTACACTGTGGAGAAAGCTTCCGGCGGCTGTACAGAATTACAGGCAGCGCCGAAGGTCCACCACTTGAATTAGTCGAGTGGATCGGGACATGGATGCATGCCTAGCGGGTAACATCCTAGAAAGAAGAAACCTGTTGACACCAAAGGGCAACACGTTGATATTAGGTCGACTGGAGAGTCGACCGTAGAGATCCAGTCGCTGACTGTGGTTTTACAGCCTCATTTAGGAGACGTAGAGCGAATGAGTCCTCACGTGCTTGAGAAAGGAATTTCTCAAGAGTCTCATGCTGAGAAATTCAGATATCAGCAACCTAAGCGGACAAGCCCTCAGCAGCCTGTGGGAACAAGTTCATAGGGAGGAACCGAGACATTGAACGTCTTGGTCAATGACGGATCAAGCGTAAGCGCTTATGCCATTGATCTGATTGTGCCTCCAAAGTTAAATTTGGAGATAACTCAATTGACAACGTTCGAACTCAAGCGTTTGTAGCTTGATCTGCGTAGTGGCAAGGTCAAGCAGATCTGCATACTCGTCACAGAGGATGAGTATGTGGCCGATATTCGGTCGGCAACAGTGTTTGCTGAGAACGAACGGGTTCTCAGCAGCTCATCGATGGACGAAAGTGTCCTCGATGAGAAGACTCGAATTGAGCGATACATGTCTCAATTCTGGGGGTCGCTTCAGGCAAATTCTTTGTAAAAAATTTGATCGAATTCAAGGATGTGTTCCCTATATCTGTGCCTTGCGAGTTGCCTAAGGACAAAGGCACTCGACACGAGATCGAGCCCAAACCGGGCTCGAAGTACTGTGTCATGAAACAGTGGCCACTGCCTCATGAACATGTGCAAGCGATCGACAAGTTCTTTGCCGATCGCTTTGCAGCGGGTCATGTGAAGGAATCAACTTCTCCTCACAGCTCTCCGACCGTCTGTGTGCGAAAGGCCACAGGAGGATGGCGGGTAGTGCACGCATTCAACAAGTTAGATGCTGAAACGGTACCGGCTCAGACGCCGATACCGAGGAAGGACGTAATCATAGATGGTATGTCAAAGAGTACCATCTTCTCATCCATGGATCTGATGGATGGATTCTATCAGATCCTCATGAGTGAACGGTAAATCCCGTACACAGCAGTGAGCTTCTCCAGCTATGCTGTGGGGGTGGCTAGCGATGCCACGAAGGCTAAGAAATGCCCCATACACCTTCAAAAGATGTGTAACAAATCTGTTGAGACCAATGCGAAATTTCGCACCGAGTTACTTAGACGACGTGCTCGTCCGTAACCGGCCGATGACCGGAAAGACGGAATTGGAGGTTCACAGGACAAACGTTAGTCGAGTTCTTTAACTTATGCGGAAGCATAAGTTGTACGTCAATTTCAAGAAGTGTATCTTCGCGGCTAGCAAAATACGACTTCTTCGGTGCATCGTGGGTAAACACGGCGTACACCCTGATCCCTAAAGGTCTTGGAGATCACCGAATGGCCTGTGCCAGTAGATGTCAAGGGACTTCGTAAGTTCCTTGGGGTAGCGGCGTACTTGCACAAGTACTCAATGAATTACGCCCGAGATGAATGTCCATCTTTCTTGCTTGCTCAATAATATGTGAAGTGGTCATGACAAGCTTACTATTAGCGTCCCTTTGAAGGTAGCAATCAGAGCTGATGTAATAGCTCATACTGGCGATTGCAGATCAGGAAAGACGATTCCATGAGGCCTGTGACGCCAGCGATTCCGCGATCGGCTGCGCGCTGATGCAATTTCACACAGGTGGCGCAGAGCGCGTCATCCGCTATCACTCGCGTCAGATATAAGCCGCTTAGTGTAATTACCCAGTGCATGACAAGAAAATACTTGCCATGAAGTATGCACTGGCTTAGGTTTGCGTCCATCTCTTGGGAGATAGAACGTTCATTGTGTATACGGACCATGCCATACTACGCACGGCCGTAAACAGTCCTAACCTCTCGCTAAAAATGGCAAGGTAGCTGTCTTTTGTCGCAAGAAATAATTTATCCGCCGAATACTAGACAAAAAGACGCAACGTTGTCGCTGATGCGCCGATCCGATTTCGAGCCGGGCGCGCAACCCAACAGTGAGGACAAGCCCACTTTTGCGACACTTACAGTCAGTGTGCCGTCGTTAACATTATTTGACGCCATAAAGAAGGCCTACGCAGAAGAGAAGGATATTCTGCGCTTGATGGATCATCTGGTGAATCCAATC